TCGTTTTTCTTCATATCTGACATGTCTCCTCCCATTGATCATGAGGATTATAGATTATAACATTTACATTAATGATAATCCATCTCCAATCCCTTTGATGAGATGACAACATTGATTCAACGCCTCCAGTATGAAACCAGGAAACCCTCAATTACCTCAAAAGCACAGACCGCTGTCACGCAAGCCTGATCCCTTGCACAAGAACCACGTCTGTTCAAATCAAATCTGTTGTTGTGTAATAAAAGTGTCTCAGACTTGATTTCAACATACCTACAGTCAGGGGGTGTAGGAGCGATTCTAACATGGGGGGGAAATAAAAAGTAGGCATGAAAGGTCAAACTGAAATTAATCAATCTCCACTACACAATTATCAAAAATAAAATATCATGACTGCCTCTCTCCTGCATGAAGTTAACACATGCAATACACCCTCTAGACTTAAGCTGCAATCATTTCATCAGATATCATATATTATCATTAAGATTGATTCACACTATGACATGTCATCAGTCTATCAACTCTATGAGCTTGGAGAGGCACTTCTCACTATCTTACCTGTTGGTTTGTGGCCTCTGTCTCCCTATCTGCCTGTCCATGGATATCATCATGGCTGCCTCTCTCCTGCATGAAGTTAACACATGCCTCTAGATTTAAGATTATATAATTTCATTAGAGATAATTTATGATAATTCAGAGTTATTGAATTCTTCCGCTGCTCTATCGTTGGCTAAATACTTCAGTCTGAGACTGCCATCGTTGAAGTCGTTTGTGGTGACGGGGTGTTGTACAGAACAAAGTAATCAGTGATTGGATCATCTCTAAGTAATCAGAGTATCAAAGCCAATGACATTTTCTAAACGCCGCTTTACCCACATATGTTCTGGCTCTGGCCCAACCCATTGGTTTCTGGGACCAATCAGAACTGTTAGAATGTGTTTGCGTTCTAGAAATCGTCTGGGAGATACTCAGATCCAGACTCATTGCGGAGAAGAAACGAACATCCGTGGGCGTGATGTGACGTTTGGCCGGAGCAAGGAGTTTGGGTAGCCAGGCAACTATGAAAGATCCTCAGTCTATGACCTCTATGGGCTTGGTGAGGCACTTCTTACTGTCTTACCTGTTGGTTTGTGGCCTCCCTCTCTACCTGTCTGTCTGTTCATGGCTGTCACTCTCCTGCCATGATCCTGATAGCACCAAACAAAGTCTTAACACATGGAACACACCTTCAGAGGTGTTGGGTTAAATGCGGAAGACACATTTCGGTTGAATGCATTCAGTTGTGCAACTGACTAGGTATCCCTTTTCCCTTTCATGACCCATAATCACTGTGATGAAGTTCGAGACATCGAAGCTGAAAGCACTAAAATTTGCCAGCTAGTTTGCCAGGGGTGGTGTGCGGGCAGTTGCCAAAAAAAAATGTTTTTTTATTTCACCTTTATTTAACCAGGTAAGTCAGTTGAGAACTAGTTCTCATTTACAACTGCGACCTGGCCAAATGCTTACTTACAGTCCATTGCACTCCTTTGGGAAAAACTCTTATTTCCAATTTTTGTTCTCTTCTTGACTGGTGACACATCCATTTCTAATTTGCTGACCCTTTGATGAAGGCTGACAGTGATTGTGCAAGTAATTCTGTCGCTAGCAACTATTCTTGGCTTCAAAACATTCACTATCAGTTTTTCACATAGCCAGAACTAGATAAAACATGACACAGCTAAACATTGACTAAACTGTAAATGTAAAGCTAACTAGGTACTAGCCAAGAGAAAGCTTATAGTTGGTCATGTTCGTTCTAACATATCAAAGTTTATTCACATTCATACACTTTTTACTCAAACTTACTTTGTTGTTGCCAACAACAATTACTTTCCCCAGTGTAGTGTGTGATGGTGGTGGTGCTGCTGCTCAGTGCTTTTTCTCTCACTAACACACTACCATCCTGCTTGTAACAACTAAGAGTGAGAAGGAAGCAGTCATGGGGCAGTCAGTGGGGGCAGGGGAAGTGACTCACGTTCCAGCAGCAGAGGTCTATTCAAAATAAAAGTCCCTCAACGCATCTGCCGACTCATTTTTCTAAATAAAAGTCAATGTGTTATATGTTCTTTTTATTTGATTTATTTTACCTGCTTCTAACATTGGGGGGGGGGGGGGGGGGGTGTCCCCACTGTCCCCACTGTCCCCACTGTCCCCACTGTCCCTCCCGGCTCCTACACCCTTGGTTACAGTAACTCAGATTAAAGCAATAGATTCACTTTTCTGGTTCATAGTTTAAACAATTTTTTTTTGCAAGAGATGAATTTGCAAAGAGAATCATTGGCACTTGCAAGAGATGCATTGGCAAAATAGAAAAACACAATTAGTTACTTACACACATCCCATAAAATAAATCAAATTACATTGAAAAATACATACATGTAAAATGATTAAAAGGAAAGCTAGTGAAAGCTGTATAGTGTAAGTACAACATCAATGACATTGTCAAGATGTTTGGAACTCTTGGTAAAAAGCATACCTCACTGTTAAACTCATCTCAATTGTTCAAACTTTGACGTTTTCAAACCATTTGTTCAAAGGTATGTGACTGTCTAACCCCAATTCTTTCTGGCTATGTCGCCGCTGTGCTGACAGACATTGGGCTCTACATTTTACATTTACATTTTAGTCATTTAGCAGACGCTCTTATCCAGAGCGACTCTATTCAATCAAATCCGCTTTAGCCGACATATGCATAGCGGTTGTTTTGGTGGTGTCGGAACTGCGTTAGAGCTGTCAAATCCACAAGTGGCTCCTGGCATTATACCCAAAGTGGACATTGCCATTGGCTGCACGGAGTCGCATTAAAAAAATTAAAAAATAATAATTAAGAGAAATCCCATGCAGCCTTGTTTCCAAGTTGGAACACTGGAATGTGAGATGTAATCTATACCTCGATTAGGCTGATAGAAATCCTCATTATTTAGGATTTTAAATTTGAGTGTCATTATTTCTATATAGGGTTAGGGTTAGGGTTGGGATAACTTTCTAACGCGAGTGGTACGGGAGTGGCTAGGTGACAATGATCAAGAGAGCAGCTGCTAGACGACTTGACAGCTCTAATGCAGTTATGCGGTTAACATTTGATCTGATTGAATCTAGGCCTTTGACTTAATTTGAATATTTCTCTAAGAAAAATATTTTTCAATCTGTATATAATATACAGTATGTTATTATATGTGATAGCAGAATGACACTATGTTCTCAAACAAATCTGATTGTTATGATTTGTGTATGTATTTCTAAGTTATGTCTCAGACATAACCTCTTGTCTGCGGCTGTAACCTGCTGTAGAGAGCACCAATTCAGACTATTGGAGTTCTCTCACATAGGAAGTGGTCATGAAAAAGCAGAAGTGTTAAACTAATGTGTCTGGCACAGATAGACTGACAGACAGACACACCAGCAGCATGGCATCTATAAGGTAAGGTTTCACTTACTGTATATACTGTATGGTGGTGGAAAAAGTACTCAATTGTCATACTTGAGTAAAAGTAAACATACCTTAATAGAAAATGACTCAAATAAAAGTGAAAGTCACCCAGTAAAATACTATTTGAGTAAAAATCTAAAAGTATTTGGTTTTAAATATACTTAAGAATCAAAAGTAAATATAATTGCAAAAATATACTTAAGTATCAAAAGTAAAAGTATCAACAATTTCAAATTCCTTATATTAAGCAAAGCAGACGGCACCATTTTCTTGTTTTTATTTTATTTACGGATAGCCAGGGGCACACTCCAACACTCAGACATAATTTACAAACAAAGCATTTGTGTTTAGTGAGTTCGCCAGATCAGAGACAGTAGGGATGACTAGGGAGTACTTTTGGGTGTCAGGGAAAATGTATGTAGTAAAAGTACATTATTTTCTTTAGGAATGTAGTGAAGTAAAAGTAAAAGTTGTCAAAAATATAAATAGTAAAGTAAAGTACAGATACCCCAAAAAACTACTTAAGTAGTACTTTAAAGTATTTTTAACTAATTACTTTACACCAATGATGGTGTTACATCATTACAACAGAAAACACACTCAGAGAAGAGTGATTATTCAAATCAAACCAATAAAATAGGTGATTACCTTATCTAAAACAACGTAATAAACATAATCCGAAGTCATTTTAAACTTAGAAAACACTTAACTAATAAAAAATGTATAGGTTGGATTTATGTCAAGCTAACCATTATTTTACCAGGTTACTTTAATTTAGTTCTACAGTATTTGATGAGACCAAGCCACAAAAATATTTTGGTTCAGAATAGTCTTTGGCCATATGGCATGCAGACTGGCAGTGAAGTGGTTAAAGTGATGCTCTGGAAATTTTGTACAATTTCAGCCAGTAGTTTTGAAAGTGGTGTTCACGAGCTAAAATGGGTCCCCGTTTTTTGTGTACTACGTCATCCAATTTTGTACTACGTCATCCATTTCGTATGATATGTTACTTCCTGCAAAAAACAACAACATATATATTTATTTATTTGTGCAATTCGTATGATATGTTACGAATCCAATTCGTACAATATGTTAAGTATTTGTTGTACTTAAGACCCCAGACTGCATCTTTAAAGGTTCTCACATTAAATCAGGCAGGCACTGCTTTCATATGTGAGGAGGGTACAGCTACTGTAGGCTATCCACACGGCTGAGAAAGGGAATCAGGTTTTGCATATTGGCATGCGTGTGTGTCTACGTGCGTGCGCGTGCGAGTGTGTGGGTGTGTTTCAATCTCAGTGCCAGTAAAATGATACATGGGGTATATGGGGAAAAGTAAATATCAAAGTAGTGGGAAAATGATTGGGAGGAAAAAAGCAACAACAAAAAGGTGAGATAGTATGGCCATAATTTGTATCCTACATTTTGTGAGACACTCATTCATAATCAAAACACCATTCCTTTTAGAAAATAAATTACAAGGTCTATTTGTATTGGCTTACCCAACGTCTCCCATTTACCCCTCAGCAGCAACATGACAACCAACTGCTCCTTCACCGAGGTAGACAGCCTCATGAAATCACTGGAACTCGCCATCTACGTGCCCATCTTCGTGTGCGGCCTTGTCCTCAACATCCTTGCCCTGGTTGTCTTCTGCGTCCTCCTCCGCAAGTGGACAGAGTCCACCATCTACATGACCAACCTGGCCCTCATGGACCTCCTTCTTCTCCTCCTGCTCCCCTTCAAGATGCACGCCACCATCCACCACTGGGCGGCCCACCACCGCATCCTCTGCTCCTTCCTGGAGAGCCTGTACTTCGTGGGCATGTACGGCAGCGTCTACACCATTGCCTGCATAGCCGTGGACCGCTGGTTGGCCATATGCCACCCCTTCCGTGCCAAGCAGCTCCGCTCCCCTCGGGCCGCTCTGGGGACCTGCATCCTGGTCTGGGTGATGGTGCTGGGGGGCACCTCCCCCATCTACTCATTCCGCACGGCAGAAAAGGGGTCCTTCCACTGCTTCCACAGCTTCTCGGACCAGGGCTGGCGCCAAGAGGTGATCGGCTGCCTCTTGGGCTTTGGGTTTGTGGGACCGGCCCTGGTGCTGGTAGTGTGTTCGGCCCAGAGCATCGGCACGCTGAGGCAGTCGGGCCAGGAGAGCCCTAAGAGCAGAGCCTGCGTGAGGACCATCTACAGCAGCCTCTGTGCCTTCCTAGTCCCCTTCACACCCAGCCACCTGGGCATCCTGCTGCAGTTCCTGGTGAGTTCATTATAAACAGGCCCGGCTGCAGGATGACATGCCTGAGGGGGCATTTAACTAGTATTGATTTAGAGCCCTAATACCACAAGGTAGATTGTTCCTACTAATGTTCAAATGTACACCTCAACAACCATGGCTTTATATAGTAACACAAGAAAGATATGAGCCCCACTACAACGTGTGTATCTGAAATGCAGCCGTAGCTACAGTAGGCCTAGGCTACACATAACTTGCGCCTGCCAACACACACAGATCACCTCAACAGGATGAGCGCCACTAGCTTATCAAAGATTCTCACAGGCTTCATAACTTAAACTTCAATAATTAGATCTATAGGCTACGTTCTTGTCGAATTTGTGACACTACGCTACGCAATGAGCGTAACCAAGCCGCTACTTCTCTAGAGTTTCAGAAAAGCAAACTAAATAAAACTAACTGCATATTTTATAGTCATAGCTGATGTCAAAATGTCCTACATGGCAGTAGCCAATTTGAATCTGCCGCGAATAAGAGTAAATACCCATTCCGAGAGCAACACACACACACGCTATTGAGGCGGTGTGTCCAAACTTTTGACTGGTACTGTATATATATTTATACTCTGGACTCCGACGTTGCTCGTCCTAATATTTCTATACTGTATTACTCAATTCCCCCCCAAAAATGCTTTTCTTTCGAAAACAATGACATTTCTAAGTGACCCCAAACTTTTGAACGGTAGTGTATATATACAGTGGGGAGAACAAGTATTTGATACACTGCCGATTTTGCAGGTTTTCCTACTTACAAAGCATGTAGAGGTCTGTAATTTTTATCATAGGTACACTTCAACTGTGAGAGACGGAATCTAAAACAAAAATCCAGAAAATCACATTGTATGATTTTTAAGTCATTAATTTGCATTTTATTGCATGACATAAGTATTTGATACATCAGAAAAGCAGAACTTAATATTTGGTACAGAAACCTTTGTTTGCAATTACAGAGATCATACGTTTCCTGTAGGTCTTGACTAGGTTTGCACACACTGCAGCAGGGATTTTGGCCCACTCCTCCATACAGACCTTCTCCAGATCCTTCAGGTTTCGGGGCTGTCGCTGGGCAATACGGACTTTCAGCTCCCTCCAAAGATTTTCTATTGGGTTCAGGTCTGGAGACTGGCTAGGCCAATCCAGGACATTGAGATGCTTCTTACGGAGCCACTCCTTAGTTGCCCTGGCTGTGTGTTTCGGGACGTTGTCATGCTGGAAGACCCAGCCACGACCCATCTTCAATGCTCTTACTGAGGGAAGGAGGTTGTTGGCCAAGATCTTGTGATACATGGCCCCATCCATCCTCCCCTCAATACGGTGCAGTCGTCCTGTCCCCTTTTCAGAAAAGCATCCCCAAAGAATGATGTTTCCACCTCCATGCTTCACGGTTGGGATGGTGTTCTTGGGGTTGTACTCATCCTTCTTCTTCCTCCAAACACGGCGAGTGGAGTTTAGACCAAAAAGCTATATTTTTGTCTCATCAGACCACATGACCTTCTCCCATTCCTCCTCTGGATCATCCAGATGGTCATTGGCAAACTTCAGACGGGCCTGGACATGCGCTGGCTTGACCAGGGGGACCTTGCGTGCGCTGCAGGATTTTAATCCATGACGGCATAGTGTGTTACTAATGGTTTTCTTTGAGACTGTGGTCCCAGCTCTCTTCAGGTCATTGCTCAGGTCCTGCCGTGTAGTTCTGGGCTGATCCCTCACCTTCCTCATGATCATTGATGCCCCACGAGGTGAGATCTTGCATGGAGCCCCAGACCAAGGGTGATTGACCGTCATCTTGAACTTTTTCCATTTTCTAATAATTGTGCCAACAGTTGTTGCCTTCTCACCAAGCTGCTTGCCTATTGTCCTGTAGCCCATCCCAGCCTTGTGCAGGTCTACAATTCTATCCCTGATGTCCTTACACAGCTCTCTGGTCTTGGCCATTGTGGAGAGGTTGGAGTCTGTTTTATTGAGAGTGGACAGGTGTCTTTTATACAGGTAATGAGTTCAAACAGGTGCAGTTAATACAGGTAATGAGTGGAGAAGAGGAGGGCTTCTTAAAGAAAAACGAACAGGTCTGTGAGAGCCGGAATTCTTACTGGTTGGTAGGTGATCAAATACTTATGTCATGCAATAAAATGCAAATTAATTACTTAAAAATCATACAATGTGATTTTCTGGATTTTTGTTTTAGATTCCGTCTCTCACAGTTAAATGATCAAAATTACAGACCTCTACATGCTTTGTAAGTAGGAAAACCTGCAATATCGGCAGTGTATCAAATACTTGTTCTCCCCACTGTATGTGTGAAGGGATGTATAGACATTATGGACAGTATGTGGATAGAATATGTAGTATATCTGAAGAATACGTAGGATAGAATAATATGTACAGCAATAGTTGAATAGGATGGCCTTGACTAGAAAACAGTATATACATATGAAATGGGTCAAATCAAATCAAATCACATGCGCCAAATACAACAGGTGTAGACCTTACAGTGAAATGCTTATGTAGTATATTAGAATTATGTCTTTGTTAAAGGTTTTTCATGAAGAAATGGAAGGTTGATTATTGTTATCCAGAGGGAAGGTTTTAGCGTGACGTCACTTATGACAAACAGGAAGTGGGTGGTAAGATACGGGGATTGAACAGTAGAGGGAGCTATTCAACTCTTGGAAGGCTATATAAAGGGGGGAGCGGTGACGAAGAGTTAGAATGCAGCAAGATTTATTTGGGGTCTGATTCTCCGGATATTGTGTCCGTACTTACGCTGGAACCTCGTGGTTTGAATAAAGGCCTTTGAACACGATCCAACCTAAGCAGACTTCTTGATTGACGACAACACCTTCCAATAACCATACACTACACTTACTTACTAGCCCTTAACCAACAATGCCGTTTTAAGAAAGAATACCAAACAAAATCACAAAAAAATACAATATAAAATAATACGAAATAAAAGTAACAAATAATTAAAGAGCAGCAGTAAAAATAACAATAGCGAGGCTATATACAGGGGGTACCGGTACCGAGTCAATGTGCGGGGGCACCGGTTAGTCGAGGTAATTGGGGTAATATGTACATGTAGGTAGAATTATTAAAGTGACTATGCATAGATAATAAACAGAGAGTAGCAGCTGCGTAAAAGAGGGGTGGGGGGGCAATGCAAATAGTCTGGGTAGCCATTTGATTAGATGTTCAGGAGTCTTATGGCTTGGGGGTAGAAGCTGTTTAGAAGCCTCATGGACCTAGACTTGGCGCTCTGGTACCGCTTGCCGTGCGGTAGCAGAGAGAACAGTCTATGACTAGGGGGGCTGGAGTCTGACAATTTTTAGGGCCTTCCTCTGACACCGCCTGGTATAGAGTTCCTGGATGGCAGGAAGCTTGGCCCCAGTGATGTACTGGGCCGTACGCACTACCCTCTGTAGTGCCTTGCGGTCGGAGGCCGAGCAGTTGCCATACCAGGCAGTGATGCAACCAGTCAGGATGCTCTCGATGGTGCAGCTGTAGAACCTTTTGAGGATCTGAGGACTCATGCCAAATCTTTTCAGTCTCCTGAAGGGGAATAGGTTTTGTCGTGCCCTCTTCACGACAGTCTTGGTGTGCTTGGACCATGTTCGTTTGTTGGTGATGTGGACACCAAGGAACTTGAAGCTCTCAACCTGCTCTACTACAGCCCCGTCGATGAGAATGGGGGCATGCTCGGTCCTCTTCTTTTTCCTGTAGTCCACAATCATCTCCTTTGTCTTGATCACGTTGAGGGAGAGGTTGTTGTCCTGGCACCACACAGCCAGTCTCTGACCTCTTCCCTATAGGCTGTCTCGTCGTTGTCGGTGATCAGGACTACCACTGTTGTGTCATCGGCAAACTTAATGATGGTGTAGGAGTCGTGCCTGGCCATGCAGTCATGAGTGAACAGGGAGTACAGGAGGGGACTGAGCACGCACCCCTGAGGTGCCCCCGTGTTGAGGATCAGCGCAGCGGATGTGTTGTTACCTACCTTTACCACCTGGGGGCGGCCCGTCAGGAAGTCCAGGATCCAGTTGCAGAGGGAGGTGTTTAGTCCCAGGGTCCTTAGCTTAGTGATGAGCTTTGAGGGCACTATGGTGTTGAACGCTGAGCTGTAGTCAATGAATAGCATTCTCACATAGGTGTTCCTTTTGTCCAGGTGTGAAAGGGCAGTGTGGAGCGCAATAGAGATTGCATCATCTGTGGATCTGTTGGGGCGGTATGCAAATTGGAGTGGGTCTAGGGTTTCTGGGATAATGGTGTTGATGTGAGCCATGACCAGCCTTTCAAAGCACTTCATGGCTATATACATGAGTGCTACGGCTCGGTAGTCATTTAGGCAGGTTACCTTAGTGTTCTTGGGCACAGGGACTATGGAGGTCTGCTTGAAACATGTTGGTATTACAGACTCAGACAGGGAGAGGTTAAAGATGTCAGTGAAGACACTTGCCAGTTGGTCAGCGCATGCTCGAAGTACACATCCTGGTAATCCGGCCTTGTGAATGTTGACCTGTTTAAAGGTCTTACTCACATCGGCTACGGAGAGCGTGATCACACAGTCATCCGGAACAGCTGATGCTCTCATGCATGTTTCAGTGTTACTTTCCTCGAAACAAGCATAGAAGTAATTTAGCTCGTCTGGTAGGCTTGTGTCACTGGGCAGCTCGCGGCTGTGCTTCCCTTTGTAGTCTGTAATAGTTTGCAAGCCCTGCCACATCTGACGAGTGTTGGAGCCGGTGTAGTACGATTCGATCTTAGTCCTGTATTGACGCTTTGCCTGTTTGAAAATGTTGCCGTCTGGTTTGCTTAATATAAGGAATTTGAAATTATTTATACTTTTTCTTTTACTTTTGATACTTAAGTATATTTAAAACCAAATACTTTTAGACTTTTACTTAAGTAGTATTTTACTGGGTTACTTTTACTTTTACTTGAGTCATTTTCTATTAAGGTATCTTTACTTTTACTCAAGTATGACAATTGGGTACTTTTTCCACCACTGATTAAAGTGACCAGTGTTCCACGTCTATGTACATTGGGCAGCAGCCTCTAAGTTGCAGGGTTGAAAAACCGGGTGGTAGCTGGCTAGTGACAGGGACTAAGTTCAGGGCAGGGTACTTACTGGAGGCCAGCTAGTGATGCCTATTTAACAGTCTGATGGCCTTGAGATAGAAGCTCCCTGCAAGAGAGCAGGGAGGGGGCAAAAAAGTTGTGTATGTGTCGTTTTCATAGTATTGACATCAGTTTTACAGTAGCCTATCACACACAATGACTGTGTAATGTAAATGAATGATAACAGAGTGAAAGTTACTTGTTTTAGTAGGCTACACACGGTATTGGTCCTACATACAACATTTTAAACAAAATAGGCCTATCTGAAATGCAGCCATATACACGACAACTGTCATTTTGCACACAAGAAAGCACACAATGTTGAAGAGAAGCCCCATGAAGACTGGTAGCCCAAGATGCACTCATTAAAACAGCACACACCGTAACCATCGAATCAGGACAATGGACAGAAGGCTACCTGCAGTCAGCGTGACGGGACATTAAAAACTGTAATATCTTATGTTTCACCGAGTCGTGGCTGAACGACGACAATGATAACATTCAGCTAGCAGGCTATACATCGGCAGGACAGAATTCCCCCTCAGGAGACTGAAAAGATTTGGCATGGGTCCTCAGATCCTCAAAATATTCTACAGCTGCACCATCGAGAGCATCCTGACTGGTTGCATCACCGCCTGGTATGGCAACTGCTTGGCCTCCGACCGCAAGGCACTACAGAGGGTAGTGCGTACGGCCCAGTACATCACTGGGGCAAAGCTTCCTGCCATCCAGGACCTCTATACCAGGCGGTGTCAGAGGAAGGCCCTCAAAATTGTCAAAGACTCCAGCCACCCTAGTCATAGACTGTTCTCTCTGCTACCGCACGGCAAGCGGTACCGGAGTGCCAAGTCTAGGTCCAAAAGACTTCTCAACAGCTTCTACCCCCAAGCCATAAGACTCCTGAACAGCTAATCATGGCTACCCGGACTATTTGCACTGCAAACTATTTGCACCCATCCTTTTTACGCTGCTGCTACTCTGTTAATTATTTATGCATAGTCACTTTAACTCTACCCACATGTACATATTACCTCAACTACCTCAACTAGCCGGTGCCCCCGCACATTGACTCTGCAACGGTACCCCCCTGTATATTTAGCCTCCCTACTGTCACTTTATTTTACTTCTGCTCTTTTTTTTCTCAACACTTTTTTTGTAGTTGTTTTATTTTGACTTTAATTTTTTTTATTGTATTTAATTTTTTTAAATAAATGCACTGTTGGTTAAGGGCTGTAAGTAAGCATTTCACTGTAATGTCTGCACCTGTTGTATTCGGCGCATGTGACCAATACAATTTGATTTGATTTGATTTGATTTAAAGAGATCCTTTTAACGCGTACATTCGGATTGTCATGCTTGCTTCGCAAGCTAGCAAGCAGGCTAGGTAGTGCTAGGTATCAGCAGCCAATCCAGTAGTGTCTGGAAACTATAGTGCTCTTCGATCGGTCAATAGCAACGTGATGTCGCAGAGTATTTGCATAAAGTTCTGTTTTTCCCAACTTTGGTCCTGCCCTGTTCACGTCCCTCACCCATGCTTGCATCGCCCAACGGTCCCCCCGCCCACTTCACTTCCTTCATGAAAATGAATGGGCTTCCGTTGTTTCATCGACCCCAACGTGCTATGTGGATCTCTTGTGTAACGTTAGATGCACTGCCAATTTCAGCATCACCTCAGAGCACAACCAATAGGATACATTGGTCATTGTTGGTATTCTTGTCATAAGAAGGAATTCCCCTCGACCATGCCCACAAATTGGGGAAAATAAACATTATTTCACATTGACCCCATTGTAAAAGCGCCAACTTCCTTGTCAAATTTTTGTTATACAGAAATAACAAAAAATGCAGAAAAGCTTCTGTGTTGTTCAATGTACATGTAACCAGGTCAAAATCCCGACCTACGGTTTGCAATGCTCCCATGTAGGCAAAAAGAACTTGCGAGAAGAGCCCTATGGCTTCAGGCTATTCGGCGTGGGAGAGTGGGAAATATGGGGACACGGTGTCCAAGTAGGCTAGACGTAGCTATGTGTGTGTAAAACATTTCATCATAGGTAAGACATGTAACTTGTTTAGTATAGTCCGTTTGTAACTCCACTCACTACTTGTAGCTGTGTAGTCCATTTGTTTGTGCTGTTGGTCTTGGCTAGCTTAATGTTCCGGTCAATAGCTTGCTAGAACTCACTCACGTGGCTGCTAGCACCGTCATGAAAAGGAGCATGAGGCAAGCCCTACAATATTACGTTTTTCTAAGTAGTGAGAAAGCTCGGGAGCAGGCATTGTTGAAAAGTAATCTTTAGACATGTAGTACTTTTCTTAAATGTAGTTTGTAATTGACTAAAAGAAGTAGACAACAAGAAAATTGCGTTTGAAAAATTTTATGTTTTTGCTGTGAGCCAATGGGGTAACCTAGGTAACCACGGGTTGTTTTCCCCACTGGCGGGCAGGGCCTCGAAATTCTATCTAATACCGACTGGGACTATACCCGTCAAATAACGCAACGCTGTATATCTATCAATAGCAAATGGACCCACGAAAGCAAGCACTGACTTTAAGAATCACAGATAAATCTAAAAGAAGCATTGAAGTAAAAACCTAAGGCCTAAACTATACATTACATTCAATATCAGACAAACAACAAATAGGCTTACATGAGGGAAAACCAATTAATTAATCATTCTGGCAGGGCGGCCAGGGCCATAAAGGTTGTAGCTTACCATTTAGATGAGTTGCAGCCTCCTCCATGCGCTGTTGAACCTCATGAGAAGTTTCGGATTCCATTCTCCTTCCTGGTGAAATTTACTTGTCAGGTCCCTCTTAAATGCCAGCTGGACAAGCTGGGCTTTTCGTTGATGTAACATGCTGTGCCTGTGTTCACTGAATACATTCTTCAGAGTGGAGAATGAATTTTTGCACATTGCTGTAGATGTCCCAAGTGTTAATCCAAATCCATGTTTCAGTGCCAACAGCACAGTCTGCATTGCTGACAAAGGCCCGCTGTATCTTTGAAGAACACTGAGTGAGGTCCATTTGTTGCTGCTGGCTGTGATTGCAATTTCACTTTGCAAGAATCAATAAACTCTGCTTCCACTGGTTCAGTTTATGTTAGATCCAACAGGTGGTCAGGTGCTAGTGGCTGGGGTAACGGAGGTGCAGGTGCTTGTTGTGATGTTACCCTCTTGCTGTTGGTACTACCTGGCTTCTTGATTTTGTTGATCAACAGGCAGTGTGGGGGATGGGTGGGTATTTGCTGCTAGGCTCCTCAACCTCGTTGGTCGGGCCAGCAGGCTGCTCGGTGAGCTCGGCATCGCACTTGAAATGGTGGTCCTCAATTTTTTTGCTCTTGGCAGTGCCCAGGCATGCCCGGCTTTGCCACTACGTAGAGCCGGCTCTGATTATAAACCTAAAAATGCTATAAATACTTTCTTGAGGTTATCTTATGTGCATTTATATGTCTGGGGGCAACTTCATCCTTTGGCTCTTTTTTTCCTGACCATGTGACCTGACCAGGAAAAACCTTACAGGCATAACCTCTATCTCCTCCCAGGTACATAGATGCGTGATCGAGGACTGCGTGGCCAAGACGAGGATCAGCCTGTTCCTACAGGTGGCCATGAGTCTGGCCAACATCACGTGCTGTCTGGACGCTGTGTGTTACTACTTCATCACCAGGGAGGTGAGGACCTCCAAGCAGACCTTCAACTTAAGGAGGTCCAGGTCCATCAGCCAGAAGAGAGCCACCACCAGCACCTCAGAGCTCTGACGAGACCCATGGAGGGACAAACACTGTGCAGAACTGGTTGAAATTATGTTTCAACCAGTTTTGCCCACTGGGAAGTTACTGGCTATAATCTTACTAGCTGTGTGAGAAATTCTGCCACTGTTTGAGGACAAGGGACGTTGAGTAGGAAAAATTAGTATTTATTATTGAAAACCTACGCATTTTGGCACTATTTTCCCTTTTGACTGTCTGCAGCCTTACCTCGGACAAGAGTTAACCCTATCAGACCAGATATTTTTATATATTTAACTTTGACTATATTTCACTGCTTCGCTTAAGTAAAATGTTTTAAACTTCTTAGACTACCACAAAAATACTTTTAAAGAGGTGAAGCAATTGAACAACAAAACAAAACATGGAAAATTACCATCTGATCTGATTACTATTGTTTGTGCCCTGTGCAATGCCATCTATATGTGTACTGTATGTCCTGACAAGGGAATCACCACAGAACAACAAGGCATGTTAAGTAGGAGAAGTCAGTTCGACCCATGGGGCGGCGCACAATTGGCCCAGCGTCGTCCAGGGTAGGGAAGGGAATGGCCGGCAGGGATGTAGCTCAGTTGGTAGAGAATGGCGTTTGCAACGCCAGGGTTGTGGGTTCGATTCCCACGGGGGGCCAGTATGAAAAAAATAATAATAATGGATGCACTCACTAACTGTAAGTCGCTCTGGATAAGAGCGTCTGCTAAATGACTAAAATGTAAATGTCACTGAAATCCCTGAAGTGTCCTAGATACATAATTAATGTACCAAATATTGTCCATTGCAGCTTCGGCCTATATAAATTTGTATGTTATATAAAGTTTCTTTATAAAGCTCTTGAATGTATTCCTCTGAAGGGAGATGTAGTTGAAATGTAGTAATGTAATTTTCACTGATTATTTGTCATTGGTTTGACTTCTGTGCTTGGGTTTGACGCAAGTTAATGGTGTTTTGCGGACATTTTTCTATTTTTATTTAAGATAAATATGAAACGGTAGATTTTGGTACCCATGATATCCTTTGTATTCTCCTGAGTTTATTTATGTTTCTCTAAAACACACACACACCAACGACAATGAAAATGCAAAGATAAAGGAATATAGTTTTTACATATTTATTTATTAGGTAGTAAGATAAGCTATTACAAGCCAAATGACTGTACAGCATGGCGAGTCAGAAGAGAAGGGGACAGATCATGAAAGCCTATATCATACAGTAGGTCCCTTTAAAACAGCAAAATAATTCCTCCATAACATACAGTAGATCGATAGTAAAAAAATGTTAACAGAGACAGGCATGCAATAGAGAGAGAGAGAGAATCTAGATAGTAGGGATGGAGAATGGCTGCAATGACTCAACTGCAGACAAGAGGCTGATCCCTTTTTTTTTTTTTTTTTTACCTTTTTTTGTCATTTAGCAGATGCTCTTATCCAGAGCGACTTACAGTTAGTGAGTGCATACATTTCATCCCACTACTAAGACAGGAGGAAGAGGGCAACTGCGTTCCAATTCTCCACCCTTCTCCTGGAGTGTGCACTTGCACACTCCCTCTCAGAATCAGGACGTAGTTAAAGACACACAGAAAGAAAGAGTTTAACTAAAACCTATCCAACTGTACAGATGTAGGATCTTAATTTGAGCCAGTTTGCTACAGAAGGGAAATAATCCTGCAGCAACAGGAAATGAAAATTATGTGGATTATATATTAATTGAAATTCTTGTAGGCGTTGATACATTTTTCATAAGGGAAAATCAAGTCTGACATTTCAAAGCATTTTTTAAACCTCAAATACACTACCAGTTTTACATTTCCTGCATTTCAGGAAAGTTCTCCTGCAACAGGGTGATCAAATTAAGAGTCTACATCTGTAGGTAATCTATATATGCCTAAGTAACACCCTCACGACTCAACATAGCGTTAGTGAGTATAGATTTGGTTCCGTTGGCCCGTCGAAAGCACTGCTACTTTATACAGTCTAAAGCCATGTGAGACCCAGAGAGTCAACCAGTGGAAGATACCACAAGGAAGAGGAACAAACCATAGAGAAATTATCATTCAATCACAAAACAAGCTCGGATAAAAATCAATGCACGTTCGAATATGAAATCCAAGAAAAATCCATATACAGTATATATTGCTTATAGGAATGATGCAAAATACATACACAAACAATTGATGATTTAAATTACAGGCGAAAAAACGTCTAAAATATATGAGGTATGTTTCGGCATTTCTGGACATCCAAAACAAGACGAGACATCATCATGGGTTCATTTTGGAACCAAGAGACAAATAGAAACACGTGTGTGTGCACAACGCACGCAGCATCTTAACTCCCAATTCTCCTCACTGTTACACACTGCACAGGGTTACAACAGAAGAAAGAGAAGAAGTAAAATACAGAAAGGACAAACTCAATCTGAGCCGATTGAAGTAAAAACCTAAGACAACTCATCTGATTATGCTGGCGTCGACTTCAAATCGATACAAATAAAATAATAAAACGTCAGTGCAACAACATGACATGAAATCCCAAGCAACAAAAAAGCTACAGATTCATCGCATTACCGACATTATCGAAATATACAGACCATTGGAATACAAAAAACTAACAAATAGAAACAACACCAGAGCAGTAAACAACAATTAAACTTGGGACAAAAAAAGGAATAAAAGAAAACATTCAAATCAATAACTATTGGACAAACACATGCTTTTTAAAGTGCAATATAAAGCCTAAGGGATGCGCGAGGTATGGTTTCAGAGTTGGCTTGGTGGTGTAGGGCGGCCATCTTGCCATCTTCCTCCTCAGGATTTAGACCCTGTCGCAGATCACTGTCTCGACGACAAAGGTGTTCTCAAAGTGACGGATGCTGTGGCAGTTCCTCGCATTGCGCTTGTCGATGCCTGGAGGAGGGAGAGATTAAGAGAAGAATGGAAGAGAAGAGAAGATAGGTAAGCTTACATCCAGTTTTATGTGTCTTGTTCAATGATGTTATACTTTTGATATATGATGTGAGATGTTCCATAGGGTTTGGTATATCTATGGTGCTATTGCAGTGCTGGGTTACTGAGGTAACTCCCCATATGTGTTCATATGCCAACATATTAGGTGCCTAAAAACCAGTATGGTATCATCCTCTGAAGACTAAATATTGAGCAATACAACAGTTGAGGGAGCTCCCACTGCCTACCTCACTGTTACCATGACTACCAGTACCAGCCTCATCTTGGATCAATGGAGTTGCCTACCAGCCCATATATGTGCTCAGAGGGAAGCATGTTACATCAATGCTCTGGTTTTACAACTAGCCAATCACAGAGGCTCACGGAGCACATCACTACTACGCATCACTTCCTCCCCCACACACGCTGTCTGATCATAGGACCTGCGTGGTGTGTTGGAAAAATTACTCACATGCGATGGCTTTGACATGGTAATCATACAGGGATCTGTGTGTGGAAGTCACTTAGAACTCATACTGTGGGAGGCTAGCGCCTGGCAGAACCCACACGCAAACTCACTCTCTCAGAGCCAGCACAGGAAGCGCCGATATGGACCTGGCCATCTCTGTTTCCTCTGTGATGAGGGGTGTCATATGGACACCTCTGACAGTCAGTGTTTCTCCCACCACACAGTCAGCCAGCCCATGGATTCGGACTGACTCAGTGACTACTGTGAAACACACAACCCTTCGCTCTCCTCTCCTCTCCTCTCCTCTGTACAGGACAGGAAGAGCCTAACTGATGACCTAGCACTTACATGCATCTCATGTTGACAAGGACATCGGTGTGTGAAATGTGTGTGTGCGAGTGTGAAATCTGGATGTGTGAGACAGAATAAAAAATAATGTGTTGTTGGTGTGTGTGTTGTCCTTACGTCGGCGTGCTTCGCGTCGGCGTTTGAGGCGGTAGGTGTCTTTGCCGTAGCAGAGCCGGTGGATGAAGGGCCCCAGAGGTCTCATGTTCCTCACCCTCCCCGTCACCACCATCTCCTCCTGGATGATGTAGGTCTGGGGCAGGTACGTCCCCTTCTGTTGGAGAGGGAGAGAGAGACACAAACACATACGTTAGTACAGGGATCATCAACTAGATTCAGCTGCAAACCAATTTTTTCTTGAGCAGATGGTCGGGGGGCCGGAACATAATTACAAATCATTTGTAGACTGTAAATTGACCGCAAGAATCCCAAACAGATATAATGTTTGACTAAAATATAATCATTTCAAACCGTGCTTACATTTGTATACGATCACGTCGTGTCTCTCTATTAATCGTGGGACTACTTAGGAACAGATTTCTTAAATTAAAATCACTTGGAGCTGATTTGCTGTTTTTTTTTTTTTTTTTTTTTTTTTTTTTACAGTTGTTTGTGTCCAACAATGAAAATTCCACACACAAAAACAAAAAAAACACTGGCGCGGGCCGCCAGTTGGGAACCCTGCGTTAGTATAATGCCCTTCACAGGACAGACGGTACACACATGACCGCAATGTCCTTTTGTAGAATAAATATGCATGGGCAGACTGTCCCTCTGAAGGACAACCACATACACACAAACAGTTTCTCTGACAGACCTAACACAGATACAACACAATAGTGTACCTTGATGTTGACCAGCAGCTCCCAGAGGTTCCTTGGTGGCATTACCAGGGTGGTGTTGAGCTCAATCACATAACACTTGTCCAGGGCAATGTCATGGTACACAGTCAGACCCTGGAATTAGAAATTACAACAAAACATGAATCATCAATCCTGAGTTGAAACGGTGCTCTTGATATTTGAGAAGCAGAAAGGTCATTGCTAACCACATCTTACAGCAGATTTAAAGGAGGAAGGAAATATCAGCATTTACTAAACCCACAGATTCCCTCCAGTCTGCTAACTAACAGAAAAGGTCACATAAAGCTTTCATTGCCTTATAGACCACTGACCCTAATAGACACGTCCTCCAAAATCATATGCTCATATGTATACTAATGGGCAATGGGCGAGCATTTGGACACAAAATGGCCGCCTTGTATCACACTACACAATGAGTGTGTGGATAGGCATAGGGATGACTTACCCTCTGGAAGTCGTGGATGATGTCTGCGGGGTCGCTCCCCCCGAAGTGGGGCACGGGCACGCTGATCTGCTCATAGTTGTCGTCCAGGTAGATGCCCACGTTCTCCTCCAGCTCCTGTCTGCCGTGCAGGGGGGCGTACACAGAGTCTTCATACAGAACCCTGCAGTGGAACAGACTGTCCTCGGGGATCTAGAACACACAGAGGGAGAACAGATCAAAACAGGGTTAGGATAGTCAGGGGGGATATCTATATCATTCATCACTGCTCCAATCAGAACCAATTTGTCTATATGACTGAATATGTGAGGTATGATGTAGCAGGTAGTAGTAGCTACTACTGGCAGTTGTACAGTAGTATAGTATAGTATAGTTGTAAGGTGTGTGAGGTAGTATGTAAAAGTAGTATAATATCTGACCTGTGGTATAAAATAGGAGGTACTAGTGGTAGTTGTATAGTGTAGTGTAGAGTGGTGTAGTATAGTTGTATTATAGTAGTATAGTGAAGTACAGTAGTATAGTACCTGTTGTATGAAGTAGTACCGGTAGACGTATATGGAGGCCAGCACCAGTCCTGACATGAAGACCACCAGGCCAAAGGTGAGACAACACAGCCCGTTCAGATGAGACTTCTTGGGCCTCAGAGGAAGAACCAGCTCCTCCTGGAGAAAGAAACAATTCACAGGTCAGACCTACAGGCCAATGTCAGATAAGTTTAATACGATTCATCAGCAAGATGCTCCCACTATGAAAGAGCAGTTTCCGTTTCACTCAATGTTGGTGGTAATAGCTAAGCAGTTAGCTTCACCCAATAAAAAATCCTAGGTGAAACAAAAATGACTATGATATAGTCACAATTATCAGAGCAGAAATAGTCTTATAATATGACAGTGAACCTCTCACACAGCCACATTTCCCTCTGTTACATCCTAACAAGCAATATCTTGCTTGCTTAGTCTGTGATGAGACCACTCTGTCCTTGCCAAGTAGTTAGCCAGAGAGGAAATCTCTAGGATGTAGGCTGAAGGATAGAGATGCTGAAGATGCCTTGTCATCCCAACAGCCCACCCCCAGTCTCTCAGCCCTACCGTCAATCTGTTTGCTATTAGCTATACACTACTCGCTACCTAGAAACGGTACCCACACACAGTTGCTAGGCACAATGGAGGATCAAAAGGGATGAGACAGATTGTGTTGTGTTTGCCGAGTGATGGCGAGGGAGGCTGTCATGGTTGTCTGGTAGTTCTATTCTTAGGACTCGACTTCCACATGCCCTACTTGTAGCTGTGACAGCGTTACATCACACACACCTCCAGTGGGAGGGAGATCACAGTGATTGCGTGGAAGTGGAATCTCAAGCCAGATTTGGTATTAATAGTCCTTATACACACATACAGATTTGGTATCCACACGTCTCCTATGACGCCTTTGCGAGCATCCCCTGTCCCCCACCTCCCTACATGACGTCAAAACCATAACTATGTCATTACTAGTTATAGTTGCTCAATAATTTGAGGTACATGATCTCACACCTTCAGATTGGGACTTGCCAAACACATATGTATACTGAACAAAAATATAAACGCAACATGCAACAATTTCAAAGGTTTTACTGAGTTGGAGTTAATATAAGGAAATCAGTCAATTGAAATAAATTCATTAGGCCCTAATCTATGGATTTCACATGACTGGGCAGGGGTGCAGCCATGGGTGGTTCTGGGAGGGCATACCAGGCCCACCCACTTGGGGTTGGGAGCCAGGGCCAGCCAATCAGAATTAGTTTTTCACCACAAAAGGGCTTATTACATACAGAAATACTCCTCACTCCTCACAGTTTATCCTGTCACTTGCAGAAATACAATTCAATGTTTAGCATAAGTGGCAGGATAATTTCAGATTTGCTATGAATTGTATTAGCCTGCCTGACACTATACCATCCATCTAATGACAGACAGACCTACAAATGTGATGTCAACGCTAACATATTGAGCAGCCACATAGACACAACAGTGTGTGAATTCTATGAGTCAACACTTGACAGAGGCTTTCTATGCAAATCCAGTATGGCCACCCTTTTAGCAGCTCCCTGACAGCTATGTAACCAAATGCATATTTCTTATGACTCTCTCAACAACAGTGTCACTTCCTTTCCTTTATCTGATTTGAAAGAACAGAACAGATGAAAGCCAACCGAAGTACGACTTTCTTCTAGCATATAGCACCTGTGAAGTATTTTCAGATCAGTGCAGACTGCATAGATGAGGGTAATCACACAAGGAAAGGAAATCCCATTACACTATTGAAATGCATGCGCCCTCATTTCTAAAAACAGCCCAAATGCCCCTCACGCGGTACATGCTGGATTGGCGGGGGAAAACACCTCGGTGATGTAAGCATACCGCAGCGATAACGTCCCCATTTGTTTGCACAATTTACGGACTGTCGATAAGATACAACTTCCCAATATCAACCTTTAAACGTGTTGTCTTGAAAGTTTTCGATAAACATAGCAATTATTCGAGTAACATGGTCTAGGATAGCCAGCCTACGATTCGTGGCTACGTCTGCTGCAAACTGAGGTATCTGCAGTGTCCCCAGTTAGCCTCACAAGGTGACGTAATGTCAACATCCTCTGGCTGTGCTGGCTAACTTGTATCGATTTTAAAAGGTTAGGCTACTTTGTATCCGTGTTTCCAGCGCTTTCACAGCAGCAGTGTATCATTTCTAGTAACAATAGTAGTAACACAGGATACTGTAACAGTAGCCTAAATGATATCGCGGTAGCCTACTATGCAGATTAGCCTACAACTGACGTTATGGGCTCTTTTGGACTTGAATATATTTTGAAATTCACATCAATGCAATCATTAGGCTACGTGCACGAATAGAGAACGCATTTAACTATAAAGCAATTAAGAAAACATAGCCCTGGTATAATCTAATTATTGCATTGGTCAGCAAAACATCCCTATTTTACCACAACGCTGTCAATACATCATGGAACAAAGAAAAGAGACGCTGAACTCACGTGTTCATAGGGCATGAGAATCTCGGCTTTGTCTCCATCGAGCTCCTTCTCTGGTTTCTGCGCCGAGACCGGCTGGAAAGTTATCTTCACCATCTTTGTATGTTTCTCTTTTTCACTACACTGACTTCCTCATTGGACACTGGTGGATTATATAGTTGCACTGTTCTCTCGCCCCCGTCGTATCAAGCTCCTCTCTGACCTCAGATGAGCGTAGCTGTGACGAACAACCCTGTGTGGGACTCTGAAAAAAATCAGACCACAATCACTTTTCAAAGTAAGAGATCCTGTTGCTTTTATTAACCTGTTGTTGACGTTATTATGTTTTGTAATAATTTGATTTTATGTTTGTATCGATATTGCTGGACTAAAAACTGTTTTGCACCTGAATGGGTGTTTTTCACTGCATGAATTCGATTCAGAATAGCGGGTTTATTTGCGAGATTCATTCAGGGACTTTTATTTTGAAGGTTTGCACCAGATATGGGTATAACTTCCTTATCTTATTTTTATCGCTTTTTCTCTGCTGATTTGCCTGAATAGGCTCTGATCACCCGGAAGTCTATAATGATACGCCTATACAGGAATGATACTCAAATTATCTCTTTAATGACGTGAAATTGGATATGTGAGAGTATGTGAATGTTAACCACACATTTATAATCAGTGGTTCCCAACCAGGGGTACTATGACCCTTGGGGGTACTCTGCCCATCCACAGGGGGTACTTGAGAAGACTCATTAGAACATAGGTTTACTGGTCAAATGCACACGAGGGGGTACTTTAGGGGAACTCCGGGCAGAGCAAAATTCAGTTGGTGGTACAGTAACAGAAAAAGGTTGGGAACCACTGGCCTAGGCTATATAGAGTGTGAGGACACTATGGAAACAGTCATGGTAACACTTTATTTTGTTTAAGGGCTGTTTTATTCTTATAAAGGTCATACTGTGTGTGCATCTTATAATAATAATAATAATATGCCATTTAGCAGACGCTTTTATCCAAAGCGACTAACAGTCATGTGTGCATACATTTTTACGTAATGCTCAATCTTCCTATTGAGCATTAATAAACTCTTCATATGAGATAATAACAACTCCTCTAGCAATGTCTGTATGTCTGTCTGTCAGATCTGTAGAGAGGAATAGAGCACAAATGGAGAGAAAACTATCTTATCTAAAATTAATTTCACACCTCTCAATAAATAGAAGTATGGATGGCGCCCATGTGCCCAAGGATGAACAGGCCTACAATAGACTACAATGTAGATAAGAAATTCCTTTAGTCTATTCAAGACTGAAATAGGACTGTAATGAAATGTGGCACATTTTCCAATTCAAACTTGGCCTAATGTCCCATTCTGTTCATTGTCTTGGATTGGGTTGGGATTGGCCTCAACTTTGGACAGAAAATGCAATGGCCCACAATTAAACTTGAAATACACGTAAAGGTGACTAATGATGCACGGTGAGAATTGTCTGTGAATGTTGCAAGATTCTTAATAGGCTAATGGCATTTGGCAATTGGTTATGCCTAGGCTAAGTGTTTGTTTGAGTTGGAAGGTATGTTGAGTAGGCCTAAAATATATAGCATTTATAGGGCACATTCAGAATGATCCTTTAGGCATATTGTTTACTTATTATTTTATATTTGCTAATTCAATAAATATTGGTTTTATGTGTTAAGTAGGCCCATAATGCCGCATTTAAAGTTGACGATAAAATACTGTCTCTTTGCTATTTATTATCATAATTTCATTTCCATCTATCTTTCAAAACATATTGGTGTCAGGATCACTACTAGAATGGTGGATTATGAAAGAAAAACCTATTTCGGGCTAGTCAAGTCCTCTCTCTCTCTCTGCAGACAACTTCCATGGTGCTCAGAGGACAAAAGACTAGACCAGCGATTGGCTGATTCGCATTGCGCTCAACAATCTTCTGCTCGCGTAGTCAGCCCCTCTATTCACATGTAAATGAGGTGAGGCGTTATAAATACCTAATACAGGCACTATCGTTGCGCTTGAGGCTGCATAACAAATCAAGTGCTCGTCTGCACAAGTACAGTTCGGCTTTGTTTGCAACAGGGACCGGCGGCCATCTGTCCCATTCACGGTGTGTAACGGTCGTGTGGATTTATCAACCCTCAGTTTTTGGCAGTGTCTGGGTTAAACTTCTACAACATGGCCCCCACTCCCAATAATAAAAACGGACTGAATAGAGACGAGGGTGAATACTATGGCATTAAAGTGGACAGAAAGGTAGGCCAAAGTGTCGCTAATTGTTGTGTATTGAGTGTTATTTTGTGTAACTTATTATAATTTATTAATGTGCGGTCAATTGGGTTTTTTTCAGACCAGAAAACCGTTGGTTGAGAAAAAGAGACGGGCTCGCATCAATGAAAGTTTGCAAGAGCTCAGAGTTCTGCTCGCAGACACAGATGTACGTTTTTGCACATTTTATGTCACTTTATCTCACATTTTCCCTCTCTTTGTGTAGCCTATTGTCGTTACATTGTAAACGAGTTATTTACATTATATCAATCTGGCATTCACAGTTACAATCAAAGATGGAGAACGCCGAAGTGCTGGAAATGACTGTGAAACGAGTGGAGAGTATCCTTCAAAGCCGAGCACAAGGTAAGGTAGGCCTATAGGCTAGGTTTATGCACGCGATGGTATAATGCACGTGGACATTTCATACAACTAGTAGAAAGTAGTGTGTACACCTACATATGTAGGATCTTAATTTGAGCCAGGTTTGCTACAGCAGGAAAATAATCCAGCAGCAACAGGAAATGTGAATTATTATGTGGATTATAATTAATTGACATTTTTGTAGAGGTTGATACATTTTCCGTAAGGGGAAATCAAGTCTGACATTTTAAACTGGTAATAACAGACGTCAGAAGCAAAAACACTGCATGTTTTACATTTCTTGCTTTGCAGGAAAGTTCTGCAACAGGGTGATCAAATTAAGATTCTGTGTGTCTTTTAAATGTATCTGTCTGTCTGTGCTTTGTCAGAGGTCGACACCGTGAACAGGGAGGCAAGCGAAAGGTTCGCTGCAGGCTACATCCAGTGCATGCATGAGGTGCACACCTTCGTGTCCAACTGCCCGGGAATCGACACGACCATCGCGGCGGAGCTCTTGAACCACCTCCTCGAATGTATGCCCCTGAACGACGAGGACAGACTCCAGGTGATGCTCCAGGATCTCATGACAGACTGCTCCACTAACAGTAACAGCACTTGGCCCAGTTCTGAGGGCATATACGCTGCTGCGGGGGGAAGGAGCATCTCCAGCGGCAGCTCCTCAGCCCTCTCCCCGGCGCCCTCCACTACCTCCAGCGATGACCTGTGCTCGGATCTGGAAGAGACTGACTCTGAGCAGAACCACATCTCTGTGGACGCTGAGAACCAGGATGTTCTGAGCATGCCCACAGCGGCCTATTCCGAGTCCATGTGGAGACCCTGGTAGAGCCCCAAATGAGGCCTACAACTTTCCTGTACTAGAGGAATAGCCTACAATAGTTATTGTATATTGGGTTTTATTCTGTAACGCTGAAGATCAAATTCCTTGTAATGTTGTTAGGCTGTTGGATGAGAGATTTTGTAGGACTAGCATGTGAAGTGGGACACTATAACTTCACTTGGCAATGCAAAGTGTTGTTGCAAATAGGCTAGAGGTGGCATCATTTTAAAAAGCTATTTTTTGTATCAGAACCATTCTAATAATGCGTTTGAACAACTAATAATAAGTATTCAAGCTATTTAATGAATGAATTGTATGTAATATTTAATTCAACTTTGAATAAGTCCACATTGTTATAGATCTGAGATGTCTTTTTGACAGATATAGGTGGTTTATTTACCTTCAGTGAAGGGAGGGTACATTAGGCCTGTATACAGATGTAAATATGTAATGTTAATAGTATGGCTGTATAGAAAATTACCTGTCCCAGTAAACCACACATAGTAATACAGTGTTAGTTGTGTGTAAATTATTTTATATGTTTAGGTTGAAGAAAATAAATAGTGTAATATTAGTCTGTAACATTGTAATAACACCGTTTTTAAGTGTTTGTGCCTGATCATGCCATGTCCATATCTAATTTCAGACATTAATTGTCATACACTGACTTAGTTCATTTAATTAAAAGCATTTTCTCTTCATATTGGACTCAGTTTATCCTATTTATACTAAAGAAAAATATAAACGCAACATGCAACAATTTCAAATATTTTAATGAGTTACAGTTCATATAAGGAAATCAGTCAATTGAAATAAATTCATTAGGCTCTAATCTATGGATTTCACATGACTGGGCAGGGGTGCAGACATGGGTGGGCCTTGGAGGGCATAGGCCCACCCACTGGGGAGCCTGGCCTAGCCAGTGGGAATGAGTTTTTCCCCACAAAAGGGCTTTATTACAGACAGAAATACTCCTCATCAATTGCACGCTCCCTCAAAACTTGAGACATCTGTGGCATTGTGTTCTGTGACAAAACTGCACATTTTAAGGTGGCCTTTTATTGTCCCCAGCACAATGTGCACCTGTGTAATGATCATGCTGTTCAATCCGCTTCTTGATATGCCACACCTGTCAGGTTATCTTGGCAAATGAGAAATGCTCACTAACAGGGATGTAAACAAATGTGTGCACAACATTTTAGAGAAATAAGCTTCTTGTGCATATGGGGGGGGGGGGGGGGGGGGGGGGGGGTAGAAGGATTACTTTATCCTATCCCAGGTATTCCTTAAAGAGGTGGGGTTTCAAATGTCTCCGGAAGGTGGTGAGTGACTCCGCTGTCTGGCGTCGTGAGGGAGCTTGTTCCACCATTGGGGTGCCAGAGCAGCGAACAGTTTTGACTGGGCTGAGCGGGAACTATGCTTCCGCAGAGGTAGGGGAGCCAGCAGGCCAGAGGTGGATGAACGCAGCCCAGTCAAAACTGTTCGCTGCTCTGGCACCCCAATGGTGGAACAAGCTCCCTCACGACGCCAGGACAGCGGAGTCACTCACCACCTTAATATAAGAACATTTATATGCCATTTGTGTGTGAAGGTAGGCTTGGAAGTTTTAATTTAGGACTAAATTAGCACAGCTGGGCCAGTGGACCATTATCAGGTGAGAATGTCTGCCTTGGGGCTTCTCTACAATGCAGTGTGAGATCTGACAGCTGGTTCATTTGATGGTTGGGCCTTCATTAGTATTCTGTCAGCTTTAATTCCTTGAAATATGTCAATATCATGAGATGTTAGTTCACCACAGAGGTTGTGTGGGATAATATCAGAAACGGAAGGGGAAGCGAGACATCCCACCAGTGGTGGAAAAAATACCCAATTGTCATACTTGAGTAAAAGTAAAGATCCCTTCATAGAAAATGACTCAAGTAAAAGTAAAAGTCACCCAGTGAAATTCTACTTGCGTAAAAGTCTGAAAGTATTTGGTTTAAAATATACTTAAGTATCAAAAGTAAATGTAATTGTTAAAATATACTTAAGTATCAAAAGTAAAAGTTTTTTTTTTAAGTGTAGGGATAGCCAGGGGCACACTCCAACTTTCAGACATAATTTACAAATGAAGCATGTGTGTTTAGTGAGTCCACCAGATCAGAGGCAGTAGGGATGACTAGGGATGTTCTGTTGATAAGTGCTTGAATTGGGCCATTTTCCTGTCCTGCTAAGCATTCAAAATGTAACGAGTACTTTTGGGTGTCAGGGAAAATGTATGGTGTAAAAAGTACATTATTTTCTGTAGGAATGTACCGAAGTAAAAGTAAAAGTAGTTAAAAATATAAATAGTAAAGTAGAGTACAGATAACCAAACAAACTTTACACCGCTGCATCCCACTCCCTATTTTTTTCTGGTTCATATCCAGACAATGAACTAAGCAGACCAGACCCAGCTGCTATAGCATTGGTGCTTATAGAGCCACCCCTTAAGTAGACCGGAACGGTGACTATTTTTTTTCAATGGTAAACGACCGAAACTCTGATTAAGACATGTTTATTTATCCACCATCTTTGATAAAATGACCTCAGATCATGCGTCATGCGTAACGGGTACATGGACACCAGAAGAACGTTGCGCTCTGTTCATAACATTTATATCCCTTTCAGTCAAAAGTAGAAAGCACTAGCACATGTGGGGTAATCTTTTAAGAAGTATACAGTTTGAGCATGAAAGATCTCAACAGACCCACAGACCCCCAACAGCCCACCACAGATACCTACACTGAATATGAAAGCGCCTCTCCTCGGCTCAGTGGACCTAGTGGCACCTTGGAAGTTTCTCTGATGTCCCTAAGTGTCACTTCTGACACATCCATATACGTGTAGTAACGCCTCGACTCCCACCAACATAAACATGTTAAGACCCTGTTATTCCTCTCTCATTCTTCCAAACCACAGAAGAAGAAAAATATTTTTTTACTAAAAGCTATTTCGTTTTTCCAATGATAATTATTCTTCTCATTGTATAATTAAACAAATATTCATGCATGATGTGAAATAAAGTCTAAAGATAAATTATATAGGATATTAAATGCCATTTCATTAGCCTTTACGCAATGTTCAGTGAGTTATATGGCTCATTTGCAAGAGTAGCCTAGCTAGCCTTTAAATAACACACATCAACAACCCAACACCTACTCTGTAACATATAGCCTAGCCAAGGTTGCTCAAAAACGATTAGATAAATGGTATATTAATTCTCTACCTGAAATCCACATTATTAGGAGACATTCACAGACTGTTGTCAGTTTGGGATGGAGCCGAGTCCAGATTAGCGGAACCCCAGAGGTGTCCATCACCGCAGGAGGGCAACTGTCCAAATTCACACCTGATCCTCAAATTGGGAGAGGTGCGAACCGCGAGGCATGTCAATGGCCGTGGCCGCTTTGATCCAAGCGGCTAAAAGCCGTGGGAGAATCTTTCCCACTATCCCACTGTCTGTCTGCCTGTCTGCCTTCCTGTCCAGTTTCCACTGATAACATCTAGCCATGGGCTTTTGGTCGCGAGCATTAGGATTTTATTTGACCCTTTCCTCTTGCATTTTTTAGCCAAATCTGATTTAAATGTTCTATACTGCAAGAAAAAGTGGAATAACTAACATGCGGTGGTTAATAGCCCTATTTTGGCTGATAGGCCTATTTTGAAATTCCACACTGCCATTCAATTCGAACAGTTACTGAAGTGAGCATATCGCCAATCATCTCACCAACGGTCAATTTCTGTAACTGCTCAAGTCATTCAGGTCCTCTCAAATTAAGAACGTGCCATTAATGTTCCATTACACCATCTACCGAAATTAACCTAATTAATTAAGAACTGAAATCACTTAAGAGTTGCAATGAAATTATCTTGGGACAAACGTGAAATGGGCTCTTTGGTCTAAAGCTATAGCAGCTGTTATCATCAAAAGGAGCACTTGCAAGGATATCCTTCTTTATTGATAGTATTTCCACTGAAAATATTTACACAATGGCCTTATCCTTAATACACACACGAAACAGGTATCCTAACATATGGCATGAAATAAATGAACATTACCTACTTGATTGTATTACATTTGTGTCAGATTATTGAGTTTTCATAAAGAGTAGGCTAGAAGCGTAAATATATTTAAATGTTTGACTTTTATTTTGAAACATTAACACAGAATAGCCAATGTGTTTACACTTTTTAAAGTGACTATCCAACAAAACAAGAAATACAGAGACATACAAGACAAACTGTAAAGAAATCATTTAGGAAAAATGCAGGTAGACCATTTGTGTGTTGAGTGTTTATATCTTTGAAAAATAGACAGAGGTCCTGACAAATGTCTTCGACATCTGTTCCAATTGCTTTATACCCATGCAATAAACTATTGGTCAATGCCTAGACCCAATAACTATCCCAGCCGTATTACAACGCAGAAAGTGTTGCTACTACCATGTGCTCTTAAACACTGTTCCAAGGCCAGCAAGCCTGATAGCTTATAATGGTATGCTTTGTGTTTGGGAAAGCTGATCCTAGAACAGTGCTATAGGTCACTCTTTCCTCAAAGCTTGGTCAAACCATGAAGGTCCTCCCAATATGGGAACATTCAATCACAGGCTAGAAAGAAACTGGTGAACAGAAAGCACCATCTCTACAAGCCTCCCCTACCAACTGTACTCTTTAGTCAGCCAACAACCTTGTTAAAAACAGATGAATTATCATGTATATTGGTCCTAGTTCTCTTATGCTGGTTTCTTCCTATATTTACATTGTGAGCTCAGAACGTACAAACACATATACTGTACATATGCTTTTCTAGAGTACAAATTCATATCTCTTTGAAACCACTGGGGGTAAAACAAAAAAAACATTTCACCAACCATTTACAGGTGCTTAAAATTATTTCTTGTTTCTCATATTGAGAGACAGTTGAAAATCAGCAAGTCCACCTAATATTATTGGCTACCATCAACACAAATACAAGACTAAAAGTCTTTAAGTTCTTCAGTGAAAACATTCATTTCAATCAGTGAAAAAACAAATTGAAAGAACAGTATTGTGCACACACTGGAACTCACTCATTTGACATTTTTGTAATTTAGCAGATGCTCTTATCCAGAGCGACTTACAGGAGCAATTTGGGTTAAGTGCCTTGCTCAAAGGCACATCGACAGATATTTCACCTAGTCGGCTCGTGGATACAAACCAGCAACCTTCGGTTACTGGCCGATCACTATTAACCGCTAGGCTACCTGTTGGCCCTCAATCTCATCTTCTTTTTCTCTCTCTCACACATTCACACACACCGTTACATTCTGTATGTCCCCTGGTCTCTCAGGCTGTAGCAGAGTTTCCATACAGTTTAGCTGGTTGTAGAAAAGGTGTGTACCACCAGCAGGACGCAAGCAGTACTAGGCAGTTCAATATGGTCTTGCCCTGTTCAGGGACAGCTGTTGGTCTGAGGGTGGGACCGAGTCTTGGTGGACGAGTCTTGGTGGAGGTGATTATGTTACAATCAACAGGGGTGGATTCAGGGTGTGGATGTGGCTATGCTGATCCAAGGCCAGAAGAGGGGCAAGGGCTGGGGCAGGTGTCTGTGTTTAAGGGCTCCTCGCTGGGCTTCCTGGAGGGGCTGACCTCCCCTGTCTCAGTCTCTGTGTCTCCCATGTCCAGGTCAGGCTGCTCCTCAGACACCACCGCCTCTAGAGCATCCTCCTCACAGCACACACAGGCCTAAACAAAAACAACAACAACAACACACATTTCTGTTAGTTACCTTTAGACTTGCTTTTGACAAACATGAATGACTGCCCATAGTATAAGAGAGAGAGAGTAAGAGCGAGTGAGAGAAGAAGAAAAAGAAAGGAAGAGAGAGAGAGTGATTGTGAGAAAGAGAGATGGAGGAAAGAGAGAGCTCACCTTGACGTCCATGACCTTGGGCAGACCTCCTCTCCTCATCCAGGGGTGGACCTCTACCAGTTCCCTCTGCTGCTCCCCAGTGAAGCACGGCTGGCTCTTCTGCATCACACGCAGCCTCTCTCTGTCCTCTCTGAGCAGCCTTTCGATGCCCCTGAGTAGACCAAGGGACATACACACTCAGTATTCTGAACCATGTGACCTATGTGACCAGGGAAAATATACTCAAACAGTCAGAATAATATTGGACATACAGGTAACACAGAGAGTGGTATTGGGTATTAGGGTGTCGGGAAAGGCATGTCTGGTATAGTGGTTCAAAAATTGGTATTTGGTATGAGTGAGTCATGGGTATCAGATGGCAATTTAATATAATTGATCTTCAGGGTTAACTAGATTGGGTGTCTTGTATCTGGAGAGTACTTAAACTAGCCTTGAAGAAACCACACATTTCCTCTCAATCCACCTTGTCTGACAACTGTGGGTCTTTGTATAAAAGCCCCATCTGGTGGACATAAATTAGAACTGCAATTTAATAATAGCAATGCTTTTAACACAAATGGTCAATTCTAATTCAGCATGCCAGGTGAATATAGGAAGGGAGTGTAAGGGAGTGGGTAACAACAAGGGTGTACAGTGCAATGTACTAGGAAAGTATTTCCCAAAGATCTAGAGTGCTGTGTCCCATCTAAACATTTTCTTATGACCTACCAAATAAAACCCAACAAATATTTCAAACCCCAGCATTCACAGCCACTCATCATGCCCTGGGTAGAAGTTGCCTGTAGTCACAGATCTAGGATCAGTTTACCCTCCCCCACCCCAAATCCCAAACTGACCCCAGATCTGCATCCACAGACAACTTTCTCTTACTCCAGGGCACATTGCGAGGTGCCTCTCCTGTCTCCTCCACTTACCGCGAGGGCATCTGATAGGTCAACGTGACCTTGTTGTCAGCGTTGGCGGTGACCAAACACGGCGGGTCCTGCAGTACATACTTGTCGTGTTGGCTCTGCTCCACCTCCATTGGCCGCACCTCGCTGACGCTACTGCTGCTCCCGCTACCGCAGCCGGTGGAGTGCCCTTTGACCTTCTGGCTGCTGTTCAGGGAGGAGCCCACGCTGCCAAAGTAGTTTCTGCTGTTTTCGCTGGTGTGGTTGCTGCTTACTGGGGTGGAGAATAACAAAACAGAGTTAGGATATTTTACTTCTGAATCACAAGAGTTCTAGTCTCAAGTGCTTTATACATGAAGCAACAAATGGTTGAATGTAATGTCTTGCTGCCATGTCCTTCTGTCATGTGTTTGTCCCTGCCAGTCTTGTCCAGAAAATATGCTTAATAATAATTTTTACAGTTTTAGATGGGAAGACCCCCCCGAAGACGGTTACAGGAGTGAAGTTTGGTACAGTGGAAGTGACTGGGATAGGAACAAATGTCTTACAAACGTACAAAAATATAGGGTAAGTGTGTGTACAGACCTGTGCCATTGCCAGATACTCCACTAGCTGACGTTCCGCTAGCTAACGTTCTACATCCCGACGTTCCGCTGTTATTAGACCTTCCACTGTTAGACGTTCTAGCTGAGGTTCCACAGCCGTTAGACCTTGAACCCATGGAGCCTGAGGTGGCTGAGCTGGTGCCTGAATGAGAGTCCGAATGGAGCAGGATGTCAAGCATTTCGCTATGGTTACCGTCGCCTGGCGAACCCACCTGCAAGACAGAGGTCAAAGGAAAGGTCAACAAACAGAAGCTCCGCTCTTAAGTTGTATTGCTCTCTTCTTTCTTTAATCAGTCCCATCCTTTCTTTCTTGCTACTCTGCTCCTTTAATTCCTTATCATGATCTGAGAGGCACCTCAACCATATTGTCCTGAAATATTAATCCAACAGAGACCCGTTTTACAGTAACTACAGTACGTTTTGTTTTGTGCATTTTAACAATGGAGGAACTGGAAGTTTAGTAAAGCCACACCAATCCAGCAATACTTCTCCTGACACGTTGCCAAAATGAGATTTCCCATCTACCTGTATGCCAAACGCTATCTTTCTAAAAATGAATTTTTACGATAGAGCCAATTTTGACTTTGCAGCTGGCCCATCTAGCGGAAACTTCTCAGTTCTGCCTCAAGGGCAACATTCATGAAAATAACATCAACCTACAGAGCAGACAGAGTTTGGATTTAAAGGGATACTTCGGGATTTTGGCAATGAGGCCCTTTATCTAATTCCCCAGAGTCAGATGAACGCCAGCAGATACCCATAGACTAATGCTAGTTATCATTTGCTCGCAAAACTACTTCTAACTTCCTTCATACTGGACATAGAGACATACAAATGGTATCCATGAGTTCATCTGACTCTGGGAAAGTAGATAATACTGAAGTATCCCTTGAACACACTTGGCATGTTTCCACTGTTTTGACTGATTTTGATGTCAAAATATGTTTAAAAACTGTGGTTTGCGCCTTTAAAGTCCTACTCGAGTCTCCTTTTCAGACAAGAAGAATTGGTGAAACTATAACATCATATCACAGTAAAAGCATTCTTAAAACATTGAGGAAAATGTCAAATTAATCTATAGCCTATGTGCTGGACCGCCACTTGGCTGCCAGCTGAAGACAATATAGGATTGATTTGTGAATGCCTTACGGATTAAGCAGCCTTTATACATCCTAACCCTAGCTTAACACCTCCAGTCTAAAAACAACATTCTCATAGTGTTGCTGTGATTTTGGGGAATCTCAACATTACTGCCACAACCTCACACCGACCCTATCTGTTATTCAGATGGTTGGATAAAACATTAGAAAATAGAAAGAGGGGAGGGAGGGAGGAAAAAAAGCTAAAGAAAGAGAAGACAGTAGGGGGAAGACAAAGAACATGGTTATGTCATACCTGCTGAAGTGTGATCTTCACCATGGCTTGGCAGACCACACTCCTTCCCTTCTCGCTGAAGGTGTTATTCCCTGGAAAACCACTGGAGGGCGCTACCACCATGCTGTCCTGCCTCTCCAGCGAGCATGGCGTCTCTTCCAGCTGCAGTAGGTTGAGCTGCAGAGGCGAGCTGCACCGTGACTGGAACACTGGAGGGGAGGGCACTTGGTCCCTGCCGCCCATGGACCCAGGTGTGGAGCACCGAGACTGGGTGGTTTCCCCAGATGGCTTGAGGGGCTCCATGGCCATGGAAGAGAAAGGCTGAGCGGGGATTGGGAAGCCTGTCTGGGGGGCAAAGGGGTTCTGGCCCGGGAACTGGGCCTGGATGGTGAAGGATGACTGTGGTGGGAAGGTGAGGGATGTCTGTAGGGGGAAGGGCTGCGGCTGGGAGGGGTAGCCGGCCGTCTCGGCCTGGTAGAAAGGCTGCTGTCCTGGAGCCCCGCTCCCCATTTGAGGGAACATGTAGTTGGGGAGAACCAGAGTCACCACGGGGGTCACCATGGGAGTTGATAAGGGCGAGGGCTGGATGTTTTGCGGGGGGCACTGGGGATCCTGGTTGCACTGGCTGTCGCCGAAGCCTGGCATTGAGTTCTCCGGGCTGGTAGGCATGGTGCCAGCCATGGTGCCCGTCCCGGGGTAGACCTGGAGGGGGAAGCCTGGCACCACGTTGGGGTAGGCCAGGGGCGGGAAGGTGGACTGGGAGGTGTTGGAGGGGGACCAGGAGGTCTGGTTGAGGCCCTGATTGAGGAGGTGGAGTCGGGGATGCTGCTGTCTCCTCCAATGGGACACAGAACTGTCGGACGACTCGTTCTGTTTCACCCGCTTGGACTTGGTCTTCTTGTTGCGCCCACTTCTACGGGCGGGGGGCTCGGCCTGCCTGCATAGGCGCACAGCGGGCACAGCTAGAGAGGGGGACAGACGGTGGGAAGAGAGGTAAATAGGGTATACATTATGTATTTGACTGTGAGAAGTTGAGTGTATGAGAGCATTAAGGTACTGTGTGTGTGTCTGTGTTGAATTGTCCTAGCCTATGTCTACAAGCTATACTAAGTTTGTATTGTATTGTATTGTATTGTATTGTACTGTATTGTAATGAATTGTTTTGTAATGTGTTGTATTGTAATGTATTGTATGGTATTGTAATGTATTGTACTGTTTTGTGTGTAAAGCGTGTTTGCTGCTGTACTGTACCATCAGTGGCACCTTGTCCCTTCTTCTGGTGCTCCAGGTATTGGGAACAGTTCGCCTGGAAGGCCTGGACTCCCCTCAGCTCCCTGAAGCGACACAGGAAGGCCTGCTCCTCTCTCTGGGTGTGGGCCGCTAGGACCTGCTTGGTCAGACCCAGCTTCTTATAGGGCTCCCTCTGCAGGCTGGGAGGTGAAACAGCGCTAGGGGGAGGCCCAGGAGTCTGGCTGCCTTGCTCCACCGCCTCCCCAGCACCAGATACATCCTCAATGATCTCTGTATGGAGAAAAACAGATAGAGAAACATTAGATCCAGCAGACAGCCATGGATGTATAAGTTAGATACAATATATACATAAAACATCCAACCGCTCAGGACATAAAGAGATGAGCAGCTGTGATACACTCAACAACATTGATATACATATATATACAGTGATATACATTACAGGGAAGCAGATAGGAAGATACATGCAGGACGCCAGTGTGTGCTAGGGTCATCTACTGTATAGCATACATCATGATATAGTCTCGTGGAACCAGACAAGTGTGAATATCTGAATATTGTAATATAAATCTGGGGAGCGAGATTATGCATGGTATATGTACAGTACCAGTCAAAAGTTTGGACACACCTACTCATTCCAGGGTTTTTCTTTATTTGTACTATTTTAGAATAATAGTGAAGACATCAAAACTATGAAATAACACATGGAATCATGTAGTAACCCAAAAAAGTGTTAAACAAATCAAAATATATTTTATATTTGAGATTCTTCAAAGTAGCCACCCTTTGCCTTGATGACAGCTTTGCACACTATTGGCATTCTCTCAACCAGCTTCATGAGGTAGTCACCTGAAATGCATTTCAATTAACACAGGTGTGCCTTGTTAAAAGTTAATTTGCGGAATTTCTTTCCTTCTTAATGCGTTTGAGCCAATCAGTTGTGTTGTGACAAGGTAGGGTCGGTAAACAGAAGATAGCCCTATTTGGTAAAAGACCAAGTCCATATTATGGCAAGAACAGCTCAAATAAACAAAGAGAAACGACAGTCCATCATTACTTTAAGACATGAAGGTCAGTCAATACGGAACATTTCAAGAACTTTGAAAGTGTCTTCAAGTGCAGTCGCAAAAAAACATCAAGCGCTATGATAAAACTGTCTCTCATGAGGACCGCCACAGGAAAGGAAGACCCAGAGTTACCTCTGCTGCAGAGGATAAGTTCATTAGAGTTACCAGCCTCAGAAATCGGCAATTAACTGCATCACAGATTGCAGCCCAAATAAATGCTTCACAGAGTTCAAGTAACAGACATCTCAACATCAACTGTTCAGAGGTGACTGCGTGAATCAGGCCTTCATGGTCGAATAACTGCAAAGAAACCACTACTAAAGGACACCAATAGGAAGAAGATACTTACTTGGGCCAAGAAACACGAGCAATCTGTCCTTTGGTCTGATGAGTCCAAATTTGAGATTTTTGGTTACAACCGCCGTGTCTTTGTGAGACGCAGAGTAGGTGAACGGATGATCTCCGCATGTGTGGTTCCCACCGTGAAGCATGGAGGAGGAGGTGGGATGGTGTGGGGGTGCTTTACTGGTGACACTGTCAGTGATTTATTTAGAATTCAAGGCACACTTAACCACCACAGCATTCTGCAGCAATACGCCATCCCATCTGGTTTGCGCTTAGTGGGACTATCATTTGTTTTTCAACAGAACAATGACCCAAAACACACCTCCAGGCTGTGTAAGGGCTATTTGACCTGGCTTCCACAATCACCCGACCTCAACCCAATTGAGATGGTTTGGGATGAGTTGGACCTCAGAGTGAAGGAAAAGCAGCCAACAAGTGCTCAACATATGTGGGAACTCCTTCAAGACTGTTGGAAAAGCATTCCAGGTGACGACCTCATGAAGCTGGTTGAGAGAATGCCAAGAGTGTGCAAAGCTGTCATCAAGGCAAAGGATGGCTACTTTGAACAATCTAAAATCAAAAATATAGTTTGATTTGTTTAACACTGTTTTGGTTTCTACATGATTCCATATGTGTTATTTCATAGTTTTGATGTCTTCACTATTATTCTACAATGTAGAAAATAGTAAAAAATAAAGAAAAACCCTTGAATGAGTAGGCGTGTCCAAACTTTTGACTGGTACTGTATGTTCTGGAAGATGCATGACCTCGTAGTACAGACATGATACTGCACCAATGGTGTGCGATAGCATACAGTACACAACATCTAGCTACATCTGTACCCACATACCTACACACACACACAGAACCCACCACCACAAAAAGAGCAAAAGACCAGAGAATGAGACAACTCCATGTAGTGTATACCTGACTCTGGCTGCGCTTTCTTGTCTCCTACATGCACGATGGTGCTACTGTAGCTACACTGGCTTGTTATTGACACCACACTCTCGGCTTTGCTGCAAGGTGGCATGGCGAGGGCCGCCAGGGAGGAGGAGCCCACTACCCCTGAGGCTGCGATGATGTCATCCACAGGGGTTAGACTAGGCTGAGCCTTAAACAGTGCAGGGTCTGCCAGGGTGATAGAGAGAGACCGAGAGAGGATGACTTGGAGAGTCACATATAAAGTCCCATAAATGTGGATTATAGAGAGAGAGAGAGAGAGAGAGAGAGAGAGAGAAAGAGGGAGTCTGGCTATGTCTGATTCAGTTGGTGACCTGTCCAACAGAGCTTTGGCATGAACTAAAAGATGAGCTCTTTATAAATGAAGAGGTATAAATATTATATTTTATTTATTTGTACATAATAAGTGTTGATCTTTTGATAAGTTGGTATGTGTTCATCCGTTCTGATTCCCTGGCGATCGGTGGAGCCAGATGGAATCTGCAGTGATGTTTTCTAACAAATGTATTATCAACGTTGTCACACCATTCTAATAAATGTTTCCGTGACTATTAATCTAGCAGTATTATTTGGTTTGAATTGAATTCATCCCACAGGTATCTTCAATTTGAGATTGAATGATGACGGGCAATTCAATTCATGGTGCATTCAATGACTGGTAGACATAGATAGCGGTGTAGGAAAGGTCACTTGCAATATAGGCTACATGCAACATCATACCAACCATACCATAGTCAAGAGTTGTAAATGTTTTATTGTAAGTAATGGAGTAAAGCTAGATAACGTTAGCAGAACGTTGGTAGAACGTACCTTCAGATATCTGCATGCGGTTGTCCCCTCCTTTCTGCTTGTCCTCGTCTGAGGATGTGGTGTTGTCAGAAGAGTGGCACTTCCTCTTCCTAGCGATGGGAACGTTACAGCCCTCTAGATATCTGTCAAGAGAGACACAGGAGAGACTGCTTTACTTCTATCTTCATCAAAAACAATAGCCCATGATGTAACAACCATGTAATTGGGGAGCAGTATGTACTTAAATAGCAGCTACGTAGTACCTACCACTCTCCTTCCCACATAGCTACCCAGAAATAGTACCTATAAGTATTTTGCCCCATAATAGACAAACTTGATGAATAGACAGATGACTGGCTGACCAGAGATATGTCCAGCACAGGAGGCTGGTGAGGGGTGGACAGCTCATAATAATGGCAGGAAAGGAGCAAATGGAATGGTATCAATGTATCAATGGTATCAATTATATATTTGATTACGTTCCAGCCATTACCACGAGCCCGTCCAATTAAGGTGCCACCAACCTCCTGTGATGTACAGATAAATGATTAGCAAGATGAATAAATAAGTGACTAGTTAGAAGCTGACCTGATGACGCTGTCCAGGCAGCTGATCTGTTGGTAGGAGTAGACCGTCTGGTCATTGAAGGTCAGCTGCTCCTCCTGTACTGCAGGCCTGCAGTCCTCCAGGGGGGTTGCCCCACTGAGTCCAGCACTGGCCCCACTGTCCCTCCAGCTCAGAGTTGCCACGGGGGCCGCAGTGGCCTTGAGACGCACCACCGCTGGACTCTTCTGGAGGAACTCTGCTAGGGAGAGGGCAACGGTCAGGACTGGAATGGGCATCTGACTACACCCATAAACTACACACATGTATTAAACACACACATATACATCTCATACAAACATGCATTCATATCTGTACATCCACTCCCCACTTTACATTATTGAATGCACACACAAGCATATCTCAAAAAGTATGTTTCCTGCAGATTGTAAGTATTTCTGTGTTGGTTTGCTTGTGTGACTTACTGCCAGGGTTCTTCTTGGTCTCAGGCCTGGCTGAGGAGGAGGCTTTGTAGATCTGTTGTTCCTGACTCTTCTGGAGGTGGATACCTTTACAGATCTCCTGGAATGACCTCTGCTGTGGAGGAGAGAAAAGACATGCTGACTATCATGGAGAGAGAGAGAGAGAGAGAGAGAGAGAGATAGACTGGGAAAAGGGAGAGAGATAGAGAGAGAGATAGACTGGGAAAAGGGAGAGAGATAGAGAGAGAGATAGACTGGGAAAAGGGAGAGAGATAGAGAGAGATAGACTGGGAAAAGGGAGAGAGATAGAGAGAGAGATAGACTGGGAAAAGGGAGAGAGATAGAGAGAGAGATAGACTGGGAAAAGGGAGAGAGATAGAGAGAGAGATAGACTGGGAAAAGGGAGAGATAGAGAGAGAGATAGACTGGGAAAAGGGAGAGAGATAGAGAGAGAGATAGACTGGGAAAAGGGAGAGAGATAGAGAGAGAGATGGAAAGGTAAAAGAGAGATTAAGATAGACAGGTAAAACAGAGGTAGAAGGGTACCCACAGGTTTGGCCCCGCTGCTCTCCCCCTCCTCCTTGATGCATGTCCTGCTTGGGCTGCTACCATTGCTGTTGATTTTGTTGTCGCTGGATGAGCGTGTGTTGCTCTCGCTGGTCATCACCTGGGATGCTGCAAGGTGGTCGTTGCTTCCCACGCTGCCGTAACCACTGGAGCTAGTGCTGTGAACTGGCTGTAGTAGCAGTCTGTGGATCTGTTCAGCGATCTCCTGGACTTCAGAGTCCATGGTCTTGGTCTCCATGAGGGCAGGGAGCGGGGCTGCGAACACATCCTCATTCACCGGGCCCCTTCCAGTGGAAACAACCATATTATCATTACTATCAAGAAGGCCCTTGTTTCCAAACTGTATTTCAGTCATTTCTATAACAACAGATACAGCATAATAAAGGCTTTTTTGGCCATTAAAAAAATGGTGCCAAGATACTGTAACACAAAAAAGTGCTGAGCCGAGAGAAGTGCCAAGGTACTCAAAAAGTGCCAAGATAGGAAAACATTGTACTGGGCAGACACTCACATGCGGACTTTGTGCCTCCCGATGATGAACGAGACCTTGCGGCTCCAGGGATTGACAAAGCTGGACCAGCTGGTGTCAATGATGACATACTCTCCACTCCGCGTGCAGAACCTGATGGAGGAGTGGTCGAACGGCTGGCCAGCATACTGAAGGACTATTGGTAGCACAGGGAGAAAAGGGAATATAAATGTGACTAAAATACGCAGTAAAGGGACATTCTATTTGTTTTGTATGCAGCCCAGTGATTTAATAATTAAAAGTGTAATAATTGTTCATGTGTTGTTCTAGTTTGACTTACTCTTCTTGTGAATGGCCAACATGATCGGCCTGTCGTTGGGATGCATGAGAAGAAGGACTGGGGTGCCAATCAGATCCTGGGGGAGGTACCCAAGGAGAGGAACAGCCCTGGAACACACAATGACATCATGAGTCAGCAATCAGCGTACAGTTGTCACGCCCTGACTCAGAGGACGCTTATATGTTGAGTCAGGGTGGGTATATTCCTTGTTGTGATTTTCTATGCTGTATTTTCTATGTTTAGATCTAGTATGTCTAGATCTATGTTGGCCGGTGTGATTCCCAATCAGAGGCAGCTGTCGCTCGTTGTCTCTGATTGGGGCCCATACTTAGGCAGCCTATTGGCACTAGTGGATTGTGGGATCTTGTTCCTTGTAAGGTATGTTGTGTGTTCTACCTTGGACTTCACGTTTCGTTTATTGTTTTGTCGTGTTGTTTATTACTTTAATAAACATGTACGTATATCACGCTGCGCCTTGGTCTGACCCGTCATTCAACGAATGTGACAACAGTATTACTACCAGAGGAGGTTGGTGGTACCTTAATTGGGGAGGACAGGCTCGTGGTAATGGCTGGAGCGGAATCAGTGGAATGGTATGCCATTCAATTTTCTCAGTTCCAGCCATTATTATGAGCTGTCCTCCCCTCAGCAGCCTCCACTGATTACTACATCACAATCCCAATACAAACACACTATCAGAACAATGTGGGTGAAAATAGTGTATTTGGTGTCTTGCCTCTTATCCACATCCTGGAACACACAGCTAGGAGTGTGTGTGGTGGTGAAGATGTGCTTGTCACTAGGAATTCTGGGAGCTGTAGGCAAATTAAAACACTGTCAACACTGTTCCCACACATTAATCACATACTATCCACTATTATACACTATTAAGGATGCAGTTTCAAAATTATTCAAACAGGCACAACTCAGGTGTTGGCCTTATGATTGGTCCTTACCCTCGTATCCAGAATGCAACCTTTCAGCCAGTAGGAGGCAGCAGAGTTGGTCCTCAGAATGGACCTTGTCCTGCACCTTCATCAGGTAGGGGGTCATACAGAACGGGTAATACTGAAGGTCCCCCACACACTCCTTACCACCACTACAGAACACAGGAGAGAGAGGAAGAAGTCAGCAAGTCACTAAAGCAGCAACAAAACCATGAAAATATAGCCTATAGTATGATAACGATTGACCGTTTCGGTCAGTGGATTTCCCTTCTTCAGCAGATATTTGTTGAGCTCTACTATGCTGGTTGGGTTTTTATCTGCCTCTTGGGGGCAGAGTTGGCCGTAGTTTTACTTTAACGCCAACTATGAAGAGAGTGTGTGTGTATGCATGTATTTGTGCACATGTCTGTCAGAGAAAAGAGCGAAACTCAAACTAATTTAAATCTATCCAAAGTGGGAAGAGGGAATGAATAGAAACACGAAGAGAAGCTGGCACAAGGCCATAGCCCCACACACACCTGATCCAACAGAAGAACGATGCTGGCACACGGCCATAGCCCCACACACACCTGATCCAACAGAAGAACGATGCTGGCACAAGGCCATAGCCCCACACACACCTGATCCAACAGAATAACGATGCTGGCACACGGCCATAGCCCCACACACACCTGATCCAACAGAAGAACGATGCTGGCACACGGCCATAGCCCCACACACACCTGATCCAACTGAAGAACGATGCTGGCACACAGCCATAGCCCCACACACACCTGATCCAACAGAAGAACGATGCTGGCACACGGCCATAGCCCCACACACACCTGATCCAACAGAAGAACGATGCTGGCACACGGCCATAGCCCCACACACACCTGATCCAACAGAAGAACGATGCTGGCACAAGGCCATAGCCCCACACACACCTGATCCAACAGAAGAACGATGCTGGCACACAGCCATAGCCCCACACACACCTGATCCAACAGAAGAACGATGCTGGCACACGGCCATAGCCCCACACACACCTGATCCAACTGAAGAACGATGCTGGCACACGGCCATAGCCCCACACACACCTGATCCAACAGAAGAACGATGCTGGCACACGGCCATAGCCCCACACACACCTGATCCAACAGAAGAACGATGCTGGCACACGGCCATAGCCCCACACACACCTGATCCAACAGAAGAACGATGCTGGCACACGGCCATAGCCCCACACACACCTGATCCAACAGAAGAACGATGCTGGCACACGGCCATAGCCCCACACACACCTGATCCAACAGAAGAACAATGCTGGCACACGGCCATAGCCCCACACACACCTGATCCAACAGAAGAACCATGCTGGCACACGGCCATAGCCCCACACACACCTGATCCAACAGAAGAACCATGCTGGCACACGACCATAGCCCCACACACACCTGATCCAACAGAAGAACGATGCTGGCACACGGCCATAGCCCCACACACACCTGATCCAACAGAAGAACGATGCTGGCACACGGCCATAGCCCCACACACACCTGATCCAACAGAAGAACGATGCTGGCACACGGCCATAGCCCCACACACACCTGATCCAACAGAAGAACGATGCTGGCACAAGGCCATAGCCCCACACACACCTGATCCAACAGAAGAACGATGCTGGCACACGGCCATAGCCCCACACATACCTGATCCAACAGAAGAACGATGCTGGCACACGGCCATAGCCCCACACACACCTGATCCAACAGAAGAACGATGCTGGCACAAGGCCATAGCCCCACACACACCTGATCCAACAGAAGAACGATGCTGGCACAAGGCCATAGCCCCACACACACCTGATCCGACAGAAGAACGATGCTGGCACACGGCCATAGCCCCACACACACCTGATCCAACAGAAGAACGATGCTGGCACAAGGCCATAGCCCCACACACACCTGATCCAACAGAAGAACGATGCTGGCACAAGGCCATAGCCCCACACACACCTGATCACAGAAACTGCCAGCCCCACACACACCTGATCCAACAGAAGAACGATGCTGGCACACGGCCATAGCCCCACACACCTGATCCAACAGAAGAACGATGCTGGCACACGGCCATAGCCCCACACACACCTGATCTGACAGAAGAACGATGCTGGCACACGGCCATAGCCCCACACACCTAATCCAACTGAAGAACGATGCTGGCACACGGCCATAGCCCGACACACACCTGATCCAACTGAAGAACGATGCTGGCACATGGCCATAGCCCCACACACCTGATCCAACAGAAGAACGATGCTGGCACACGGCCATAGCCCCACACACACCTGATCCAACTGAAGAACGATGCTGGCACACGGCCATAGCCCCACACACACCTGATCCGACTGAAGAACGATGCTGGCATACGGCCATAGCCCCACACACACCTGATCCAACTGAAGAACGATGCTGGCACACGGCCATAGCCCCACACACCTGAGCTGACAGAAGAACGATGCTGGCACACGGCCATAGCCCCACACACACCTGATCCGACAGCAGGTAGCTTAGTGGTTAAGAGCGTTGTGCCAGTAACCGAAAGGTCGCTGGTTCTAATCCCCGAGCCGACTAGGTGAAAAATCTGTCGATGTGCCCTTGAGCAAGGCACTTAACCCTAATTGCTCCTGTAAGTCACTCTGGATAAGAGCGTCTGCTAAATGACTCAAATGTAAGAACGATGCTGGCACACGGCCATAGCCCCAAATACCTGATCCGACAGAAGAACGATGCTGGCATACGGCCATAGCCCCACACACACCTGATCCAACAGAAGAACGATGCTGGCACAAGGCCATAGCCCCACACACACCTGATCCAACAGAAGAACGATTCTGGCACACGGCCATAGCCCCACACACACCTGATCCAACAGAAGAACGATGCTGGCACAAGGCCATAGCCCCACACACACCTGATCCAACAGAAGAACGATGCTGTGACACGGCCATAGCCCCACACACACCTGATCCAACAGAAGAACGATGCTGGCACAAGGCCATAGCCCCACACACACCTGATCCAACAGAAGAACGATGCTGGCACAAGGCCATAGCCCCACACACACCTGATCCGACAGAAGAACGATGCTGGCACACGGCCATAGCCTCACACACACCTGATCCAACAGAAGAACGATGCTGGCACACGGCCATAGCCCCACACACCTGATCCAACAGAAGAACGATGCTGGCACACGGCCATAGCCCCACACACACCTGATCTGACAGAAGAACGATGCTGGCACACGGCCATTGCCCCACACACCTAATCCAACTGAAGAACGATGCTGGCACACGGCCATAGCCCGACACACACCTGATCCAACTGAAGAACGATGCTGGCACATGGCCATAGCCCCACACACACCTGATCCGACAGAATAACGATGCTGGCACACGGCCATAGCCCCACACACCTGAGCTGACAGAAGAACGATGCTGGCACACGGCCATAGCCCCACACACACCTGATCCGACAGCAGGTAGCTTAGTGGTTAAGAGCGTTGTGCCAGTAACCGAAAGGTCGCTGGTTCTAATCCCCGAGCCGACTAGGTGAAAAATCTGTCGATGTGCCCTTGAGCAAGGCACTTAACCCTAATTGCTCCTGTAAGTCACTCTGGATAAGAGCGTCTGCTAAATGACTCAAATGTAAGAACGATGCTGGCACACGGCCATAGCCCCAAATACCTGATCCGACAGAAGAACGATGCTGGCATACGGCCATAGCCCCACACACACCTGATCTGACAGAAGAACGATGCTGGCACACGTCCATAGCCCCACACACACCTGATGCAACAGAAGAACGATGCTGGCACACGGCCATAGCCCCACACACCTGATCCGACAGAAGAACGATTTCTCTTGCATGCAGTCCGACGGCGATGACTCTGAATAGAGAAGAGGGGAAGGGGAAAATGTTTTAATTCAAAAGAAGCCCATTTCCCAAGCTCTGATGAATCCCTCTGTATTACCTGGCTTTAGGGATCTGCCATTGATTTGTATTGTTTAGCATGGCTGACTAGGGTAGGGCGACTAGCCTCAAATCCAGGTAAATGTTTTCATGTTTTCCTAGCAACGGCTTAGCGTGTGCTGTTTGAAATTAATTTGTTTTTCGATCATTATAAATACATGGGATTTGCTTGTAAAGGGTTTTGAGTGTCTCGAAAGGACGCTATACATTTCAAAAGAATGATTCACTATCATTAGGATGGGGGGACCACTCTTAAAGCCAGGTGTAATGGGTAAAAAAGCATGTTCTCTTTTTCCATCCTACCTTAAGCCTTTTGTGCATGATGTAGCTAAAACTGTTCATAGACTGTCTATAAAAGGTTATAAATTAAAGAGGGGTGTTAGCTACCTGCTCCGGTGCAAATGTTCCAGGAGGGCAGGCGGTAGGGCGTGGTGAAGCTGTAGAAAACACTGACGTCCTGGGGAGTCAAGAACTCCACAAACTTAGCGTCCTTGAAGACGCCCCTTTTACAGTTGAGGATGGAGGCAGCCTGGTCTGAGATGTAGACGATCTTCCCTGTGATCAGAGATATCGCTACCGCAAAGATGTCCTGGAGGGACACACAGGGACAGGTGTGAGAAAAACATGCATATACAGTACACACCCACAGCTGCAAGTGTGGATTATTCCTAATCACTGGGATATCTGATCTGTTGTTGGTCAGACACTGTATGTCAAATAAGGTCAGAGATGGACACAGGTGTGGGTATGACAATGAGTCACGCTATTAATGTATTTTGGTATTGTTGGGTTCTGTTTACAACTGGTTTATGTATTTAAGGTAAAATTGGCTATTTGTCATGCTTTGAAGGTGTATTCAGAGGAAATAGGGTGATAGTAACTTACATTGTTTTTGAGGGTGTACTCTGAGGTGATGCTGTCTATCTCCTTGATGGTGTAAGAGGAGACATCCAGGCCGGATGGCTGACTGTCATTGGTCATCAACAGCTTGTAGTACTCCTCATTGGCTGAAACATAACAACACAAACACACATTGGTTTCGTATTGGCCTTTTAAGATACATTAGACAACAACAAACTATAATGTAATGATGCTAAATACATAATCAAATCATATGTTCAGTCCTACTACCCAGAATGCTTTGCGGTTGGGTTGTCTCTTACCTTCCACCTGTTTGACACAGCGCAGGGCGTATTTCAGGGTGTTGAGGGAGCTGGACTTGTTGCCCTTGTTCCTCTTGTCAGAAGGAAGGTGGCGCTTGAGCTCCTTGAGGGTCCTGAGAAGCTCCTTCTGGGTCTTGGCCTTAGCTGACTCCTCACTACTGCAGCCGCTGGTGGAGGGGTTGTCCTGCTCAGAACTCAGCAGGCTGAAGGCATTGGAACTACTGGGAGGAGAGGGGCTGTGGGAGTTAGAGCTGGGGAGACAGACAGACACAGAGAGATTATTAATGACATAAAGTAACATGTTTTCATTGAGAATTGTTTCAAACCACTAGAATGAAATTGTTATAAGCCAAAGTGCTACACTAAAAATAGACTCCATAGCTACTACCGTATATACGTATGCATCTATTGATGAATGATTAAATTCCTCAATCATGGACAATAAGTGGATTTCACATTCATGACGAAGAGGGTATTTTCCACAAAATTCTATGAAATGAAATAGCAAAACAAAGTCATTGAGTTTTGCATGAAATGAGTGGGTTCATTTAGTTTTCCCATCTGGTACAATGGCTTGTTCTACTTTTATTGTGTTCAGGAGGGTACAATGCTACAATGGTACATGGATACCGGAGCAGCTCTTAAAAATTCAATTTGTCTTTTTGTTTTCCCCATCCACTCTGCAGTAGTCTGGGTACCAGTCTCTGTAACATTCCACTCCTTGTACTCCATCTTTGGCAAATGACACAGAGTACAAGGAGTGGAATGTAATAGTTGAACAGAGACTGGCAACCAGGCTAACTCCACAGAGGATGCCAGGGAAATTCTATGCTGTTTCAATCTCAGGTCAGCCTGACTTTCCTCTGTCTTTGAAAGAGCACAATTACATAACTCTAATCCACTGTTTGCTCCCTCTTGCTCTCTCTCTCTTTCTTTATCAAATTTTTCTTTCTGTTCTTTCTTGTCTGTCGGTGTTCTCCAAAACTAGGTGCCATATAGAGCCCCACAGTGGAGGTGTCATAATACCCATAAAACCTAGCGGTCAAACAGGAAAATGGTTCCAATCGTTTTTCCATCATTTTTCCCATAGGGGATTTTAGAAACATTTAAAATAAGGGCTGTGTTTCATGTAGGCTTACCCTGGCGTGACGTTTTGATAACCATTTAAATCTCTCTCTGACTTTTATCAATATATTCGGCTCTATTTACTCTCAAATTCGAAAATGCTAATTAGCATCAAAGTAGACAACATGCAAAATCCCAGCAAGCTCCTGTACGTCATCTCTAGCTGACACTTTTGCTAATAGGTATTGTGCCAATTTAAAAACGTTCACAGAATTGTCCATTTAAAGAAATGTAGGCAATTTATTAATTACTACATTTACAGTGGCTTGTGAAAGTATTCACCCCCCTTGGCATTTTTCCTATTTTGTTGCCTTACAACCTGGAATTAAAATTTATTTTGGGGGGGTTTGTATCATTTGATTTACACAACATGCCTACCACTTTGAAGATTCAAAATATTTTTTATTGTGAAACAAACAAGAAATAAGACAGAAAACTTGAGCGTGCATAACTATTCACCCCCCCCCCCCCAAAGTCAACACATTGTAGAGCCACCTTTTGCAGCAAGTCTCTTGGGGTATGTCTCTATAAGCTTGGCACATCTAGCCACTGGGATCTTTTCCCATTCTTCAAGGCAAAATTGCTCCAGCTCTTTCAAGTTGGATGGGTTCCACTGGTGTACAGCAATCTTTAAGTCATACCACAGATTCTCAATGGGATTGAGGTCTGGGCTTTAACTAGGCCATTCCAAGACATTTAAATGTTTCCCCTTAAACCACTCGAGTGTTGCTTTAGCAGTATGCTTAGGGTCATTGTCCTGCTGGAAGGTGAACCTCCGTCCCAGAATCAAATCTCTGGAAGACTGAAACAGGTTTCCCTCAAGAATTTCCCTGTATTTAGCGCTATCCATCATTCTTTCAATTCTGACCAGTTTCCCAGTCCCTGCTGATGAAAAACATCCCCACAGCATGATGCTGCCACTACCATGCTTCACTGTGGGGATGGTGTTCTCGGGGTGATGAGAGGTATTGGGTTTGCGCCAGACATAGCGTTTTCCTTGATGGCCAAAAAGCTCAATTTTTGACCAGAGTACCTTCTTCCATGTTTGGGGAGTCTCCCACATGCCTTTTGACGAACACCAAACGTGTTTGCTTATTTTTTCTTTAAGCAATGGCTTTTTTCTGGCCGCTCTTCTGTAAAGCCTAGCTCTGTGGAGTGTACGGCTTAAAGTGGTCCTATGGACAGATACTCCAATCTCCACTGTGGAGCTTTGCAGGTTATCTTTGGTCTCTTTGTTGCCTCTCTGATTAATGCTCTCCTTGCCTGGTCCGTGAGTTTTGGTGGTTTGGCAGGTTTGTTGTGGTGCCATATTCTTTCCAATTTTTTATTAATGGATTTAATGGTGCTCCGTGGGATGTTCAAAGTTCCGGATATGTTTTTATAACCCAACCCTGATCTGTACTTCTCCACAACTTTGTCCCTGACCTGTTTGGAGAGCTCCTTGGTCTTCATGGTGCCGCTTGGTGGTGCCACTTGCTTAGTGGTGTTGCAGACTCTGGGGCCTTTCAGAACAGGTGTATATATACTGAGATCATGTGACAGATCATGTGACACTTTATTTAACTAATTATGTGACTTCTGAAGGTAATTGGTTGCACCAGATCTTATTTAGGGGCTTCATAGCAAAGGGGGTGAATACATTTGCACGCACCACATTTCCGTTATTTATTTTGTATAATTTTTTGAAACAAGCTTTTTTTTTAAATTTCACTTCACCAATTTGGACTATTTTGTGTATGTCCATTACATGAAATCCAAATAAAAATCAATTTAAATTACAGGTTGTAATGCAACAAAACAGGAAAAACGCCAAGGGGGATGAATACTTTTGCAAGGCACTGTAGCTAACATTAGATAGTTAATCCAGAGATTCTTACCTTTGCCTCGATTCGGCAGTCTCGTCCAGATCATCATGGCATTTGTAGTTATTTATGATAGCCACATGATCAGCTAATTAGCATTTCATTTTTTTTTTTTTTTTTTTGGGGGGGGGATATATTGATAAAAGTCACATTGTCCTAGAGAGATTTACACGGTTATCAAAACGTCACGCCAGGGTAAGCCTACACAAAACACAGCTCTTATTTTAAGTGTTTCTAAAATCCCCTATGGGAAAAATGAATGGTGGAAAAATGATTGGAACCATTTTCCTGTTTGACCACTAGGTTTTATGAGTATTATGACTGATACTGTGGTACTCTATTGTGTCTTTTGGAAGCAAAGACTGGACCATGCCACAGGTTTTGGCCCAGTAAACTGGAGTGTGTGTGTGTGTGTATGTGTGTGTGTGTGTGTGTGTGTGTGTGTGTGTGTGTGTGTGTGTGTGTGTGTGGTGTGGTGTGTGTGCGTTAATGTGTGTATGAGAATCTGTAGTAAGTATGAGCCAATGTGTGTTTTTGGGTCACAGGCATTAGCCTACAGGCTTAGCAAGAGCGCTAATACATCCAAAGGCTATAAACAGCTGCTGAAGACAGCCAACCCGTCAAATATAACTCAGGTGTATTTAAATAGCAAGCTTAAGTAGCTCAGAATATAAATCACATTTAGAAATAGCCGCTCTAAGATTTTAGAGATCTAATTATATCAAAGAGAGCCACCTACAGTATCAGCGGCATCTGCTTTTGGCATTAACAGATTGGTCTGGCAAACGGTGGCAGCTAATTATAGATGTAGGTTAATAGAATAAGCTAATTAGATAATGACACTAAGAGCAGCTGTAGGCCTCCCCACTGTTACAGCGGAGCTGACAGGCACATACTGTATTGTCACAGAGTGGAGACAGGAAGCGAAAGACAACTTCACCATATGACGCACAAGTACTGGGACCTCTCAGCGAAAAATGACCTCGATCACTCTTTGCTTTTAACAAGAAGTTTCACACAATCAAGATGTGCTACAGTGCCTTTGTCTTCAAAGAGTGTTTTTTCTAGGTGTTTTCAGCCCAGTTACTGAGGAATAAGGAGGGGGCAGTGTGTCATTAGGGTGGTGAAGTCAGTATCTAGGGCATGTCTGATGTGGACCAGCATGTGCCAGCAGAGAGGATAATAGAGGAATGGAGGGACCCTGATACAATATGAAAGACAGCCACCGTCTCTAACGGCTTCAGAACGGGCTGCCAGTGAGTCATATTGATGTTAACCTACGTCAAAGGAAGAGAATGGGGACGCAGTCACAACAACAGAGGATGAAAAAAAGGAAATGCATGTAGCCTTGGATTTAAGTGGGATTTTGATGATGTGTGGTGTTGGATCAACTAATGCTGTCAACTCTTTGTAGTCTGATGTGTGCCGGTAAAATAAGACTGGTAAATACTTAAGACTGGTAAAAAGGTACCCATCTAGAAATGTGGTCTACTCTAACCCCTCCCACAAACCAATAAAAGCACACCCCCTCACTGACCATTTGTTGCTCCCAGATGACTCCAGGAGAGCCGAGTCTTTGCTGTTGCCATTGGAGCTACCCGTCGACTCGGTGCTGTGACTCTCGTTTCCATGGCTTCTGTGGCTCTCGTTGCCGTGTGACTCGGTCCCGCTGGATCCACTGCTCTTCATTTCCACGTCCTCGTGGAAGGAACGTGAGCAGGCGCTCCTACGGCCACTGTGGGGTGAGGCCGAGGGGTCCTGGCCACTGCTATCACTGCCCTCTGAGGCTAGACCCAGGTCTGGACAACCCTGGCCGTAGCTGCTCCTACAATGGAGCTGGGCCATGGACCTGCACCATGAGGCCCCCCTGGGCATGGACCTGCACCCTGAGGCCCCCCTGGCCATGGACCTGCACCCTGAGGCCCCCCTGGCCATGGAGCTGCACCCTGAGGCCCCCCTGGACATGGAGCTGCACCCTGAGGCCCCCCTGGACATGGAGCTGCACCCTGAGGCCCCCCTGGGCATGGAGCTGCACCCTGAGGCCCCCCTGGCCATGGACCTGCACCCTGAGGCCCCCCTGGCCATGGAGCTGCACCCTGAGGCCCCCCTGGACATGGAGCTGCACCCTGAGGCCCCCCTGGACATGGAGCTGCACCCTGAGGCCCCCCTGGGCATGGAGCTGCACCCTGAGGCCCCCCTGGGCATGGAGCTGCACCCTGAGGCCCCCCTGGGCATGGAGCTGCACCCTGAGGCCCCCCTGGGCATGGAGCTGCACCCTGAGGCCCCCCTGGGCATGGAGCTGCACCCTGAGGCCCCCCTGGGCATGGAGCTGCACGAGGAGGCCCCCCTAGCCATGGCGCTGCAGCCTGGGTCTGAATCCTCCGACATTATAAGGAGGGAGGTGTGGTGTGTTGAGGGTTTAAACCAGAGAAGTGCTGAGTAGAGGATGGAGGAAGCAAAACTTAATCACCCCATTGTCCACAAGACACCAAAGAGAATGGATGGATGAGCTGCAGAGAGTTTTCTGTAAATGAAGAGAGGAAGAGGAGGGTGAGTTAGCTATACACTAGAGTTGTGACTATTTCATACAATGATAAAACCATTTAAGCAAACCATGCACAATGAAATAAATCCCAGGAACAAATATATAATTTGATACAGTAGAATTCCTTTGAAACTATCAGACAAGAAACACCTAGACAAGACCCCCAAAGGTGACACCTGCCCCTGTCTGCTGCCCTGTAACACAACAGAGCTAGACATTGGCTATCCCAGTTCCTATACCAGTTCTATCTAGACCTCTGGGATCCACCCAAGTGAGGACCAGGCCAGGGGATGGTCCATCAAAGAGGAACCACCTGACAGTGCTCCTTACTGGGGTAGCCCCCTGTCCTTTCTCCCCTCTCTGGGGAGCTCAGTTGAACCTGTAACTTCTCTAGACAGGGCTAGAGTCAGGCCAGCTCAGTGTATGAGTCTACTCCACCATCCTTTCAAAGGGTCTCCCAGTCCCTGACAGAGATGAAACGTGCCAAACCAAGCCAGAGTGTCCTATAAACAGCAGTTGGCACGGCCGTGGTGGAAAAGTAACTATCCTCTGTACTAAGTCCACATGCCTTCATGCAACACACTGTCCTCTCTGTAATTGACCAATTGAATTACGGCTTTGTGTGTGTGTGTGTTCCCAGAATAACCTGGTGACCCAGAGAGAGACTGGCATGAGGCAGAAGTAAAATGCACTATGGACCGTCTGTCTGTTACTGCAGAGACTGGTTCTAACAGGCGAGGCGGCTACTCCTGTTAAATTTTTTTTGCTCTGTGGAGTAATGGGCACATTGGCAGGAACCTATGAGGTGTGAAGAAGTGGCAAATGACTGGCCGGCCATTAGTTATATTTCAAGTTTCAGAGTTTATTCGCCACGTGCACAGGATACAACAGGTGTAACACAGTACAGTGACATTTTTAGTCCAAGACTTGATCTGTGTCCAGGAAACTGGCCCTCAAAGCCAACCCCCTGTGAGTGATGTATCACTCTCCTCACTTTGCCCTGAGCAGCATCATATGAACGACACAATGCCCCCAATCAGACATGTAGCGAAACAATGCCCTGAATCAGTCATGAACGACCCAATGCCCCCAATCAGTCATGTAACAACACAACGCCCCCAATCAGTCACGTAACAACACAACGCCCCCAATCAGTCACGTAATGCATTGGGCTGCCTGCCAATATCTACCTCTGTAGGGCTGTCCTCTGGCTGAACCTACCACTGTTAGTATAAGGTGATAAACATAATCAGCATAACTTTATGGTGTTGCATTAGTAGTCAATAAAGTAACTTGTAGCATAAAGCAATATTGGATTGAACCACTCCGTGCTGGAGACAGGAGACGTGCTGTCATCATGGGACTATTGTCACTGAACGAGGTCGTATATTTACTGAGCTACCCAACAGTCAGACCACTGACCCATTTGTTTACTGAGCTACCCAACAGTCAGACCACTGACCCATTTGTTTACTGAGCTACCCAACTCTCAGACCACTGACCCATTTGTTTACTGAGCTACCCAACTCTCAGACCACTGACCCATTTGTTTACTGAGCTACCCAACAGTCAGACCACTGACCCATTTTCTACACAATATCTTTATTACATTATCATCTCACTGCCTTGAGCATCTTACTTTAGCTACTTCCCATATTTAAGAAAATCAACTTTATCCTGCCCCTTGGATGTGGGACATCTGTGTCGAGTGACAACATTGTGACAATATTATCAAGTGGAACATGTCCAGGAGGAGAGAGAGATATACGTTATAGGTTTCCGGTGTTCTCCTCCATGACATCCTAGTGATAATGTTCCTTCCCTCAGGCCCACTGGAAATCCTAGCAGGTGATAAGGGATTCTGCATAGGTGCTCTCCTCACGAGATTACCATTAGACCCAGACTATGGATTGGTCTATTTTTTATCTCTAAGGACAGTTGCTGAATATCCTGGGTTGATAACATGGTTATGGGAGGCATACTGATGTTTAGTAGGGCCGGGATGATACCAGTATTGCGATACTCATTAGTATCGTGGGCAAGGAAACAAAACACGAAGCGGATTTGACTTCTCTAGGAAAACAGCCCTAATGTTGGAAACAAACATCATTATGTTGTCATCCAGAGTCACATGTATTTATTTTCCTAGATATATCATACATTATTTTACATACAGCAGGTTCCTAAAGGACCAAAGAGTTTGGTCTGCTTCGTGTTTTCATTTTTGCCATGGAAAAAATATTGCCATACTGGTATCGTCACAGCCCTAATGTTCAGTAGCGCAGGTAATACAATCACAGACTCTATTCTAGGAGACCCGTGCAGACGTGCATGTATGGAGTGACGTATGTGGTTGGCGGTTGCCAAGGCCATTGCCTTGTGGCGGAGATTAGCAGGCACCAGACTGATTAACCTATACTGATAACCATTCATGCTCTCTTTACTTAGCTTTGCTTTTCATATGGACTGAGGTAGAGCATTGCTGTCCTGTGCAAACATCGTTGAGCTCAAAACTTTCACCCTTCACAAATTACCTTCAATGCTGCAGAAATTTTTCGTTACCCTTCCCCAGATCTGTGCCTTTTAGACATTTTTGCAAATGTATTAAACCTAAAAAACAGAAATACCTGATTTACATAAGTATTCAGACCCTTTGAGATTCAAAATTGAGCATCCTGTTTCCATTGATCATCCTTGAGATGTTTCTACAACTTGATTGGAGTCCAGCTGTTGTAAATTAAATTGATTGGACATGATTTGGAAAGGCACACACCTGTCTATATGAGGTCCCACAGTTGACAGTGCATGTCAGAGCAAAATGAGGTCAAAGGAATTGTCCGTAGAGCTCCGAGACAGGATTGTGTCAAATCAAATCAAATCAAATCAAATTGTATTTGCCACATTCGCCGAATACAACAGGTGTAGACATTACCGTGAAATGCTTACTTACAGCCCTTAACCAACAATGCATTTATTTCTTAATAAAAAATTAAAATAAAACAACAACAACAAAAAAGTGTTGAGAAAAAAAGAGCAGAAGTAAAATAAAATAACAGTAGGGAGGCTATATACATTGGGGTACCGGTGCAGAGTCAATGTGCGGGGGCACCGGCTAGTTTAGGTAGTTGAGGTAATATGTACATGTGGGTAGAGTTAAAGTGACTATGCATAAATAATTAACAGAGTAGCAGCAGCGTAAAAAGATGGGGTGGGGGTGCAAATAGTCCGGGTAGCAATGATTTAGCTGTTCAGGAGTCTTATGACTTGGGGTTAGAAGCTGTTGAGAAGCTTTTTGGACCTAGACTTGGCGCTCCGGTACCGCTTGCCGTGCGGTAGCAGAGAGAACAGTCTATGACTAGGGTGGCTGGAATCTTTTACAATTTTGAGGGCCTTCCTCTGACACCGCCTGGTATAGAGGTCCTGGATGGCAGGAAGCTTGACCCCAGTGATGTACTGGGCCGTACGCACTACCCTCTGTAGTGCCTTGCGGTCGGAGGCCGAGCAGTTGCCATACCAGGCGGTGATGCAACCAGTCAGGATGCTCTCGATGCTGGAGCTGTAGAACCTTTTGAGGATCTGAGGACCCATGCCAAATCTTTTCAGTCTCCTGAGGGGGAATAGGCTTTGTCGTGCCCTCTTCAAGACTGTCTTGGTGTGTTTGGACCATGATAGTTCGTTGGTGATGTGGACACCAAGGAACTTGAAGCTCCCAACCTGTTCCACTACAGCCCCGTCAATGAGAATGGGGGCGTGCTCAGTCCTCTTTTTTTTCCTGTAGTCCACAATCATCTCCTTTGTCTTGGTCACGTTGAGGGAGAGGTTGTTATCCTGGCACCACACGTCCAGGTCTCTGACCTCCTCCCTATAGGCTGTCTCATCGTTGTCGGTGATCAGGCCTACCACTGTTGTGTCGTCTGCAAACTTAATGATGGTGTTGGAGTCGTGCCTGGCCATGCAGTCATGGGTGAACAGGGAGTACAGGAGGGGACTGAGCACGCACCCCTGAGGGGCCCCCGTGTTGAGGATCAGCGTGGCAGATGTGTTGTTACCTACCCTTACCACCTGGGGGCGGCCCGTCAGGAAGTCCAGGATCCAGTTGCAGAGGGAGGTGTTTAGTCCCAGGATCCTTAGCTTAGTGATGAGCTTTGAGGGCACTATGGTGTTGAAAGCTGAGCTGTAGTCAATGAATAGCATTCTCACGTAGGTGTTCCTCTTGTCCAGGTGGGAAAGGGCAGTGTGGAGTGCAATAGAGATTGCATCATCTGTGGATCTGTTGGGACGGTATGCAAATTAAAGTGGGTCTAGTGTTTCTGGGATAATGGTATTGATGTGAGCC